ATTAGGAGATATACCTAATGTAAATGATGAGTTAATGGGTGCAGCACACCAACATGGCACATGTATACATATGTAACAAACCTACACGTTGTGCACATGTACCCTAGAACTTAAAGCATTAAAAAAAAAAAAAAAAAAGTAAGACTTTGGCCAGGTGTGGTGGCCCATGCGTGTCTTCCCAGCACTTTGGGAGGCCAACGTGAGCTGATCACTTCAGACCAGGAATTTGAGAGCAGCCTGGCTAACATGGTGAAACCCCATCTCTATTAAAAATACAAAAATTAGCCAGGCATGGTGGCGCATGCCTGTAGTCCCAGCTACTCAGGAGGCTGAGGCAGGATAATTGCTTGAACCTGAGAGGCAGAGGTTGCAGTGAGTGGAGATCATGCCACTGCACTCCAGCGTGGACAGCAGAGCAAGACTCTGTCTCAAAAAACAAACCAACAAAAAATACGAAAATAAGCCACAGATGGTGGCATGAACCTCTAGTTTCAGCTACTTGAGAGACTGAGGCATGAGTATCACTTGAACCTGGGAGGCAGAAACTGCAGTGAGCTGAGATTGCATCACTGCACTTTAGCTTGGGAGACAGAACTTTAGCCTGGGCGACAGAGTGAGACTGTCTCAAAAACAAAATAAAATAAAATAGGTGGGAACAATAGACACTGGGGAATACAACAGCAGGGAGAGAAGGAGTGGGGCAAGGGTTGAAAAACTACGAAACCCGGTCTCTACTCAAAATACATACACACACACACACACACACACACACACACACACACACAAATTAGCCAGGCATGGTGGTGTGTGCCTGTAATCCCACCAGGCATTTGGATTAGTAGAATGAGGCTGGGCAATAATTTAGGGTACAATCCTCTTCTAAGAATCTGATTATCCATTAGTAACACATATGCATTAAAAATAATATTTTATAAGTTCAGGTTCTGACAGCCCATTCACTTTAAACATAATGAAATTATGGAATAAATATAAAGAGAGGAAAACAAACAAACATAAAAGATAGATGGCCTTACATAGAAAATGTAATCTCTTTGGAACATAAAGGAAATATAAATGCAAAATGGCAGTCAGGTTCTAACCATCCGCCTTCTCTGCTCCAGGACTAGAAGTAGGCAGTGGTGGCTGTGAGTTCACCTTTTCTACCAAAAAAGGAACTAAAAGTGTTTTATGTAAGACCAGGGCCAAAATCCAGGCTTAGAGCTTAAATCAGGAGTCATGTTGAGACTCTGCCTTCATAGACATCAACTTCTGACAAGAGCTCTCCTGAGCTGCTAATTGAATTGCTGATGGGATCTGTGCTGTCATCAATATCACTTCCAGGAACGCTGGAACATCTTGTTTCTGGACTGAGTTTCAGGTTGGAGACAGGAATAGTTAATGGAAAAATTTCCAGACTGTGAGAAGTAAAGATAAAAGAAGAGAGAGAGGGAGTAAAGAACCAAAACCAAAATATTTCATTTACAATGAGCTAAGACCAACATTCCAAAGTATATAGATAAAATGAATGCTAAGAAAGATGACAGGCCAGTGCAATGGCTCACTCCTGTAACCTCAGCACTTTGGGTGGCCAAGATGGGAGGATCGTTTGAGCCCAGGAGTTCAGGATTAGCCTGGGCAACATAGCGAGACCTCGTCTCTATAAAATAAAGTTAAAAAGAAAGATGACAAACACAATCAATAATTGGAACATAAATTTACATCAGATAATATTGATTTCGTAAAAACATTTGACAGTCTTTAAAATTAGTGTGTTTAAGATGTTCATAAATAAATGAAGACATAGTATCCATAAATATATTAAATTATAAGATACAAACAAAGATCTAAAATAAAAATGGATGAGAAAAAGAAACAATTAGAAATCTTTTTTTTTTTTGGCATGGTCTTACTCTGTCACCCAGGCTGGAGTGCAGCGGAACAATCACAGCTCACTGCTGTCTTGATATCCCTTGCTCAAGTGATCCTCCCACCTCATCCTCCTGAGTAGCTGGGATTACTGTTGTGTGCCAACACGCCTGACTAATTTTTGTATTTTTTTTTTTGTAGAAACAGGATTTTGCCAAGTTGCCCAGGCTGGTCTTGAATTCCTGGGCTCTAGTGTCACTCCCACCTCAGCCTTCCAAAGTGGTGTGATTACAGGTATTAGTCACTGCACCTGGCCAATTAGAACTCTCAAGAATAAAAATACAGTCACTTAAATTGAAAACAAAGAAATAGATGGGTTGGATTTTAGACTGAACACAGTCAGAGAACAAGTCAGGGAATGAAATGGTAGTGCTGAAGAATTAACCTAGTATAACTCACATAGAGTCAAAGAGGTAAAATAAAAAAGAGTAGGTAGGATACAAAGGACAGATCAATAAACTCTAAATTGCATTTAATAGAAATTCCATAAAAGGAGATTGGAGGGGAGAGTGGAGAAACAATATTTGAAGATTTTTTTTTTTTTGAGACAATCTCGCTCTGTTGCCAGGCTGGAGTGCAATGGCGCAATCTCAGCTCACTGCAACCTCCGCCTCCAGGTTTCAAGCAATTCTCCCACCTCAGTCTCCCAAGTAGGTGAGAGTACAGGCACTTGCCACTACGCCCAGCTAATTTTTGTATTTTAGTAGAGAAGGGGTTTCACCATGTTGGTCAGGCTGGTCTTGAACTCCTGACCTCAGGTGATCCGCCCACCTCAGCCTCCCAAAGTGCTGGGATTACAGGTGTGAGCCACTGCGCCTGGCTATTTGAAGATCTTATAGTTGAACACTTTTTAATTTGCAAAAAGACATTAGGAATTTGTTTCCTATACAGTCATTCATTCAGTGAACAAACGCTTAATGAAAACTTACGTTTTACCCTCCAGAGTAGAAACAAGGGATACACAATGAATGTAGTATAATCCTTGCCTTTGCTTGAGGGGCTCACAATCAGTAGGAGGGGTGGACTTGTTTAATTACAATGTAATGTAAAATTTCTATGATAAAGCAGTGTATTACAGAATTAAGAAGGAGGAAGAATACTCCTGGGAGGACTAACAAAAGCTCCACGGAGGAGATGAGATGATACTCAAGCTGAATCTTTAGGGGTTCCCTAGAGCATTGAGTCAATAAAGGCATGAAAGAGCCTGGCACGTTTGGTGGCTGCTGAGTGGTTCTGGGTAGTTCTAGCTTCTAGAATATATGGAAGAAGAGTCCTTAAGGCATAAGTTAAGGGAACTGCTGGGAAAATCTGAATCACCTTTTAAATATAAAAACACTTATTGGCCAGGTGCAGTGGTTCACACCTGTAATCCCAGCACTTTGGGAGGTCAAGGCGGGCGGATCATGATGTCAGGAATTCGAGACCAGCCTGACCAACATAGTGAAACCCCATCTCTACTAAAAATACAAAAATTAGCTGGGCATGGTGGTATGCATCTGTAATCCCAGCTACTCAGGAGGCTGAGGCAGGAGAATCACTTGATCCTGGGAGGCGGAGGTTGCAGTGAGCTGAGATCATGCCACTGCACTCCAGCCTGGGTGACAGAGCGATACTCCATCTCAAAAAACAAACAAACAAACAAACAAACAAAAAAACACTTGGCCGGGCGCGGTGACTCAAGCCTGTAATCCCAGCACTTTGGGAGGCCGAGATGGGTGGATTACGAGGTCAGGAGATCGAGACCATCCTGGCTAACACGGTGAAACTCCGTCTCTACTAAAAAAAAAAATACAAAAAACTAGCCGGGCGAGGTGGCGCCTGTAGTCCCAGCTACTCGGGAGGCTGAGGCAGGAGAATGGCGTAAACCCGGGAGGTGGAGCTTGCAGTGAGCTGAGATCTGGCCACTACACTCCAGCCTGGGCGACAGAGCAAGACTCCGTCTCAAAACAAAACAAAACAAAACAAAACAAAACAAAACAAAAAACAAAAAAACACATTAAAACTTTACTGAAGTGTAATAAGTAAATGCATAGAATGGAGAGATATACCACATTCATAAATATAACTCAGGATTGTAAAGATGGGGTTTTCTCCAAAATAAATTCAATGCAATGCCACTCAATAGCAAAATACTTTTTAAAAATCAAAGATTTTTAAAAAATGAAACTTCACTGATTACGTATTTACATAAAAGAACTAAGCATAGCCAAGATAATTTTGAAAAGCACAGGTATGTATCCTACCAGCTAATAATATTTTTTGTAGAAAGTTTTAACAATTAAAATATAGAATTATTTCTTTCTTAAATATTGAGAAGCGTTCATGGTGATCACATGTTTATGGCAAGGTGTAGAGAAAAATGAGAAATTTGAATTTTAGGGCACTCACTCTGGCATTAGTATACCAGATGACCTGGTGTGGGGGCAAGATTCAGAGTTAGGGTGACCTGCTGGCTGCTTCAAAAGGTGTGATACTAGATATAAAAATGGAAGATGAGGGTAGTGAGAGTGGAAAAAGATCTCATTAGATAACTATTTGGGAAAGAGAATCAACAGATCTTGAAGTTTAGCTTTGTTGGAGGTGGGTGGGTTGGGCAGGTGACAAGGGAAGAAGAGTCGAGGAGAACTTCAAAATATCAGCCTGGGCTCGTGGGTAGATGGTGAGCCTTAATGATCTCTTGGACAGACAACCAAGTTTCTGTAAAAGAGGTATGGAACTTGGGAGAATTTGAGGCAAAAGTCTCAGGGAATAGTGCAAGTAATGAAAAGAAACAAATCCCCCCAGACAGATTCATCAGGTAGAATAGGAAAATGATGAGTGGACGAACAGTGCTTCCTCAAGGAGATGATGCCTGTCTCTGGGCCTTGAAGGATGGAGGATGGGCAGGAACAGCCCAGGTTAGAGGGAAGAGGCAGAAGTTAAGAGCGAACAGAGGGCGCTGATGCTGGAGAGGATCATACACGAGGTGGGGAAGCAAGAGGAATCTCCCAGGTGGTAAGAAGAGAGAAAGGGGCAAAGAAGGAAGAAAACCTTTTCATTTTTCTATGCACACATGCAAAATGACAGACTCTCACCTTTGCATTGATCACAAGTCGGATGGCATCTCTCACAGGTCTGTGTACTTTGCTCTACATAGTAATGGTCTGGGCAGGAGGGATGACACTCTCCTTTGGAGCGGAGCAGAAAGAAAAATCTATCGCAAGACAGGCAGTCTGTGGGCTGTGGGCCCTGGCACCCCTTGCAGATCCTGTTGCACCTCTCACACCGGCCGGTGGAGTTGTCTGCGTAATACCTGAAACCGAGGGAGAAGAAACGATGGAATACTAAGCTTTGCTCCTAAATTGGGTGCGGTGGAAAAACGTGGTAGTCAGGTTTCATTTACAAGCTGGGTGACTTTAGCCTCTTTACCTTACTCATTAGATTCATTGCTAATAACACTAATGAACCCAATGATTCCCAGTGTTCTTACCTGTAAATTGGGCCAATCCCTCCCCTATTATTTGTGAAAGTTAAAGTGGGTAACTAACACATATGAAAAGACCTAGTGCTTATCACACCTAGTAGCATCTCCATTGTTGCTAGCTACCATTGCCTTTTTCTACCATGTGCCTCTCCAAATTCATGCTTTAAGTTGTGGTTAATGGCTGGCATCAGAGAATGGAAGGATTTAAAACAAATTTTTTTTTTTTTTTTTGAAATAGTGATGACTGTCTCACTATGTTGGCCTGGCCATTCAGAGGTACATTTAAAAAATCCACCCAGGCTGGGTGCAGTGGCTCACACCTGTAATTATAGCACTTTGGGAGGCCAACATGGTTGGATCACTTGAGGTCAGAAGTTTGAGACCAGCCTGGCCAACATGTGAAACCCTGTCTCTACTAAAAATACAAAAATTATCCAGATGTGGTAGCATGTGCCTGTACTCCCCGCTACTTGGGAGGCTGATGCAGGAGAATCATTTGAACCTGGGCGGGGGAGGTTGCAGTGAGCTGAGATCATGCCACTGCACTCCAGCCTAGGCGATAATGTGAGACTCCATCTCAAAAAAAGAGATCCATCTGGCCAGGCACAGTGGCTCACACCTGTAATCCCAGCACTTTGGGAGGCCAAGATGAGAGGATGGCTTGAGGTTAGGAGTTCGAGACCAGCCTGGTCAATCAACATGGTGAAATCTCATCTTTACTACAAATACAAACAAACAAACAAAAATAGCCAGATGTGGTGTGTAGTCCCAGCTACTTGGGTGGCTGATGCATGAGAATCGTTTGAACACAGGAGAGTGAGCTGAGAGCACACCACTGCACTCTAGTCTGGGTGACAGAGTGAGACTGTCATAAATAACATAAAATACAAGATAATATAAATAAAATAAACGTACCTCTGAATTCTTCTTCTAATTTGTCAACTAAAAAACAGATGTTGAAATAGGAGGTGACAAGTGTGATATTGACATTTACATAACAGATATAACCTTGTTTGAAAAGATTTTTGGAGGTTAAATATAATAACTATAACCACTATTCATTAAGTTTCTACTAATATGCCTGATAGTATTCCAGGGACTTCATAAACATTATTTCACCTTGTTGAACCTGCCAATGAGACCCTAGAGTGTGGAAGTTACCACTTGCCCTCGGGAACAAGACTAGTTTTAAATCCCAGCCATACCACTTACAAGCTGTGTGACCTTGGGCCAGTCACTCAACATCTCTGTGCCTCAGGTTTCTCATCTATAAGATGGGGCTAATATTAGTACCTACAATTAAACATGTGATTACTGAGAAAGGGGTGGGGACCATGATGGGCACTTTATAAATAATGAATGTACATTAGTGATAATTATAAATTGTGTGATTTATCCTCATAGCAAATCTTATGATTTAGGTATTACTATCCTTATTTTACAGAAGCAAACATTGAGGCTTAGAGAATTTACACAACTTGCTTAAAGTCAGTTAGTGAAGTGGGACAATATGATTTGAGCTTAACTGTTAAGCTGTAACCAAATAGTTCATTAATTGAAGGTAAACAAAGGTTTGCAAGCAAGACAGAAGAGGGTAACAAAATTCTTGCTAAGGATGAGCTTCTAAAGGTCATCTGATTCATCTCTGTATCTCTAGACATCAGCACCACTAAACCTATCCTAGAAACCTAAAGGTTTATCTTTGTTTTCTCTGGTGCAACACTACAGGTCCCAATAGGCTTTTTTCATAGACTGATTCAGCTCCGTGAACTTGCTGAGAACTCACACCATGCCTAGGTTATGCTGAGCCTTGCTCTATTTAGCCACCCGTCACTGATCTGAGGGAGCACATTGGAACCTTAGTGGCCCAGCTTGTGGTAACTGGAGACCTGCTTCGCTTTCTGCAGTTATGTGAAGAACAATGACTACTAGGTGTCAATCTGTAAGACTGAGGTATCTGAGAGACAACGCGATGATGAGCTGAATGGCTGACAAAGCCCACATAAGACTCGAGAAAAGAAACCATCAGAGAAAAGTGAAATCTACACAGAGCAGAGGGAATACACAGGATTAGAGGCAGAAGATTGAATTTTTACTCCTGGCTCCGCCATGTATTAGTAGCTCCATGACTTTAGGCAAGTCACTTAACCCCTCTGAGCCTCAGTTTCTTCATCTGTAAAATGGAGAGACTAATAGCAACCTCATGAGATTGTTGTAGAATCAAATCATAATGTAAAGATACATTGTGAGTGGAAATACTTTGTAACTCTTAAGCAGCATACAAAAGTTTTTTTTTACCTAATGTTTTTATTGTAGATTGTTATAAAGATGAAAATCATCAGTAGGAACTGTGGGAAAGAAAGCTTATCAATTTTAAGTAGGTTTTTAAAATTATCAAGGAGGAATGCTAAAAGAGACAACAAAGAGTTTATTGGACCAGATTAAGAGAGTAAAACACCACTGCTTGCTTTGAGGACTCATCAGTTTCCCAGCTTCGAAGAGCATAAGCACAAGCAGTAACCTAGGCTTTAAAGAAACTTCTCTGAGTTAAACACCAAAATAATTATGTGGGTTGGGATAGGGTGCAGAGAAGTATATGTCTACTTTTCCAAGGCAGAGATTTAACATACGAGGCTTATGCCAAGCATGTGGAACACTGATTTTACTAAAGGAAGAGTTCTCCTCTTATACCTCATGAATATTCAATTTCTTCTTTATTAAAGGGATCTATGGCAACCTGTGCCTCCCCTCACCAGCCCTGGGTTCACACACCGTGGAACAACTGTCTTCTTAATTCCATGGTCTGCATTCTACCTGGATGACAGGATGATTAAGCACCCTTTTTGTGCTTGAGAGTATTTACTGACTTGATTTGAGGAAGATGGGCTCCAGATCTTTTCAGACACTGACTAGGGTGATGCAGAAGGGCTAAGCCAGGCAGCTTCATCCCTGGTTTGTTTTTTTTTTTTTTGACAGAGTCTTTTTCTCTTGCCCAGGCTGGAGTGCAGTGGTGCGATCTTGGCTCACTGAAACCTTTGCCTCCAGGTTTAAGCAATTCTCATGCCTCAGATTCCCGAGTAGCTGGGATCACAGGCACCTGCCAACACACCTTGCTAATTTTTGTATTGTTAGTAGAGACAGGGTCTCATATGTTGGCAAGGCTGGTCTTGAACTCCTGGCCTCAAGTGATCTGTCCACCTCAGCCTCGGAAAGTGCTGGAATTACAGGCATGAGCCACCATGCCTGTCCATCCATCTCTGTTCTTATCTGGCAGGGCCCTTTCTTCCTTGATCTATATGGCTGGTATTTTTCTTTCTGAGACAGAGTCTTGCTCTGTCACCCAGGCTTGAGTGCAGTGGTGTGATCTTGGCTCACTGCAACCTCTGCCTCCTGGGTTCAAGCAATTCTCCTGCCTCAGCCACCCGAGTAGCTGGGATTACAGGCACATGCCACCATGCCTGGTAGTTTTTGTATTTTTAGTAGAGATGGGGTTTCACCCTGTTGGCCAGACTGGTCTTGAACTCCTAACCTTATGATCTGCCCACCTTGGCCTCCCAAAGTGCTGGGATTATAGGCGTGAGCCACCATACCCCGCCTGGCTGTTTTTCAAGAGCTGCTAATGTGTGGCTCTGTGCTGAGTGTTGTAGAAGCAGATGTAAGACATAAGAGGTGTTTTTCTTCCATGAGTTTATGATTTTCTTGGGAAGAGGCATATAAGAATAAGAATAAACTCTTAAAGTCAGTGATATGGTTTGGCTCTGTGTCCAAATCTCAGCTTGAATTGTACTCCCATAATTCCCACGTGTTGTGGGAGGGACCCAGCGGGAGATGGCTGGATTGTGGGGGCGGTTTCCCCCATGCTGTTCTTGTGGTTGTGAATAAGTCTCAGGAGATCTGATGGTTGGATAAGGAGAAACCGGTTTCACCTGGCTCTCATTCTCTCTCTTTGCCTGCTGCTATCCACATAAGACGTGACTTGCTCCTACTTGCCTTCCGCCCTGATTGTGAGGCCTCCCCATCCACGTGGAACTGCAAGTTGAATTAAACCTCTTCCGTTTGTAAATTGCCCGGTCTTGGGTATGTCTTTATCAGCCGCGTGAAAACAAACTAACATGGTCAGTCTTTGTCTTACTCATCTTATTTATATATAAAAAGTGCTCGTCATGAGACATGTTAAATAAATAAGTGAATGAATGAGATAAATCAAAATGCAAGGCAGCATATAGCACTAAAATGAATGAAACAAGCAGTAACTGCTATAGGACTGAAGAGATGTGTCAATTTGGGTGAAAGCATTTGAGGAAGGTCTAAGGTCACAGCCCTTGATGTGGGTCTGGAAACTCCCAGTGCTCTAGGTTATTGATTGGGTAGAAAGAGTCAGCAACAGGCCTATCATCAATCTTTTACTCTTTACTGGGGATGCCCAGGGGGAAAAAAAGGATATCCTGGCAATCAGACCTTTGGATAACACGGACAGTTCTTCCTGGCAGAAAAATAATAGAGTCCTTATCCGTGAAATGCTTTTAGAGGGATACATCAAGTGTGTGTCTAGGTTGTTTATGATAACAAGACCTGTAATTTGTGGATTTATGGGGGACATGACAGGCTGGGGAATTAATGGGGAATAAATGGAGATGTTAATGGAGCTATTTCCTTTGTAAATCAATGTTCCGCATGCACTGCTCTCCTCACATAAGCAGGTTGGGAGAACGTGAGACCCTGAATTTTAAATCTGAATCAGAACAAGTCCTGAAGCCCAAGAAATAGAACCTCCATTAATGGTCTTGGGCTTCTCTGAGGAAAGGATGCTTTGCTTCTGCCTTGTGATTACTGAGACCCTTTGCCAAATTGTTTTAATTTTTAGAAACAAGGTCTTGCTCTGTCACTGAGACTGGAGTGCTGTGGGGCAATCATAGCTTACTGCAGCCTCCAACTCCTGGGCTCAAGTGATCATGCCCTGCCTCAGCTTCCATAGAAGCTGGGACTATAGCCTCATGGCACCACGCCCAGCTAATCTTATCTTAATATTTTACAGACGGGGTCTCACTGTGTTGCCCAGGCTGGTTCAAACTCCTTGCCTTAAGTGATCCTCCAGCCTCAACCTCCCATGTAGTTGGGATTACAGACATGAACCACAGTGCCCAGCTGCCAATATGCTTTGGATTATCATTGAGGACTGTCGCTGAGGAAGATCAATTGCTCAGGTGAGTCTGGCTCGACAATCTGACCCTTTGTGATAACTCACTGGATCACAAGAGAAACAGTCTCTCCTGTTTCTCTTCTGTTATTGTGAATTGGTTCATCTTTGCTCCTTACTAGCACTGAGACTTTAACCTGGTTTTATAAGTGTTCTGAATCTTAGTTTCCTCCTTTGTAAAATGGGTTGATATCTGGTGTGACTGTGGAATTACATGGGGTGGGGGGGGAATGTATTGAGCACTTACCCTTCCCTGCACTGGAGCAGGCACTCTTTTCCCAGCTGGAACCAGCCTGGTCGGCAGGAGTGGCACTGCCTGCTGTGTCTCCCTTCACATGTCCTGCAAGAGCTGTGGCAGCGGGCACACTGGTGGCTGTCCTCATCAGCATAATAGCCCTCTGGGCAGTCCTTCACACAGGTTGTGTCTGTCATGGGAGGAAAAATGTCTATTTGGACATTGAGCATGACACATCTCCCCTGTGTTCTCCCTCCTGTGTACCATGGTGGGAGGGAGGAGAGGGCTGCAGGAAGAATGGGATGATGTCCCTGTGAGCTGACGGCTATGTTTGGGAACTAAGATGAGTGTCCAAGAAACAGAATTACCCTAAGGCCATGAGGAATACAAGGAAAACAGAAGTCAGTGATATGGTTTTGCTCTGTGTCCCACCCATATCTCATCAGTGATACCATCTCATCTCATCAGAGATCCAAATCTCATCTGCGTCCCACCCAAATCTCTCAGTGGATTAGCCGTGGTGGGTAGAACAGAAACTACGGTCCGGCGACTGTGGATGTTGGCGATGACTCATAGTCCAGCTCATGTATCTGGTTAACTAGGGGGAAGCACTAGCTTCCTAAAGAAAAAACATCTCTGTATTAGTCTCTTATTGCTGTTCTTACCAAGTATCCTTAACTTGGGGGCTTGAAACAACAATTTATTATCTTACTGTTCTGGAGGTCAGAAGTCCAAAATAGATCCACAGGGCTCTGTTCCTTTTAGAGGCTCTAGGAGGGAATCTGTTTCCTTTCCTTTTCCACCTGCTAAAGTTCACCTGCATGCCTTGGCTCATGGCCCCTTCCTCCGTCTTCAAAGGCAGCAGTGCAGTAGCTTCTCTCTGTCCCTCTGCTTCTGATCACATCACCTTCTACTACTGACTCTGATCCCCCAGCATCTCTCTTATCAGACCCTTGTGATGGCATTGGGTCTACGTGGATAATGCAGGATAATCTCTCTATGCTGAGATCCTTAATTAAATCACAGCCCCAAAGTCCCTTTTACCAAGTAGAGTAATACGTTTACAGGATCTGGGGATTAGGATGTGACATCTTCAGGGGGGCCATTATTCAGTCTAGCCCAATGTCCAAAAAAAGTATCTAATTTATAAATAGCCTGACCTTGGCGGTGTGGTGGTGTGGGACAGGGTGGAGAGAATGTGAGGAGACCAGGCTGAGCAAATCTGCACCCACCCCCAGGATAATGCAGGATAATCTGTGTCCTACACCAGCGCTGAAGCCTCAGCTCTAGTCTAATCTGCAGCCTCGGATGAGGGGAAGACCACTTTGTGGAGGCAAGGTGTCTTCTCTGTATGAAGGCATCTGAGATGATTACTGGTGGCACTCCAGATTGGAGGTAAGTAGAAAAGAAGGTTTTGGGAATCTTCCCATGGGATTACGTGGAAGACGTGGCTGGAGGGAATGCTTTTATGAAGTAGCAACTGCTGGGAGAGAGAGTCACAGAGATTTGTGGGCCAGGAGCTAAGGTAGATGGATAGAGAAGACTGGTCTCTCCGAGTGTTTTCTATTGTGAAGGGATCAGGAATGGTATTGAGAATAGGCCTCCCTGTGTCTTAGCAGGGGGATGGTGTCCTCCCTCAATATGAAGAGGAAAAACTTGCCACGCATGTCTTTAAAACATTTTTCTTTTATTAATGTTTAAACTTTTAAAATTTAAAATTTTTATTTTTATTTTCCATTTTGTGTAGAGATGAAGTCTCACTATGTTGTGTAGGCTGGCCTTGAACTCCTGGACTCAAGCAATCCTCCTGCCTTGACCTCCCAAAGTGCTGGGATTACAGGCGTGAGCCACTGTGCCCAGCCCACCACACATGTCTATTTGGAGTTTCACGCTTCTCAGGTCTACTCTCCTGGTGGGGGAGAAAAGTGCTCATACTTCCCGGTCTTCACCATATTCATGTCTCCCTTCTGTCTCCTATGGCTTCTTTTTTAGTTCAGTTTTGTTTCATTTTCTTTCTCCTATGCTTGTTTTAAGCCTAGTTACAGTATCCCTGGAAACCTGAGGATATTACTTCATATTAGCAATAACCTTCAAACTGGATCTGTGGGACGTGGCCTACGTTGACCTGTGCCACATTTTCCTCAAGATTTCTTAATCAACCATGCTAAATGGATGGGAAATTTTGACAAGGAGGTGAATATCTACATGTTCTTAAAGTGTAACCCCACAGGCTATTTATTAGTTACAGTAATTATGCAGTAGAGAAACTGAACATCTTGGCCAGGTGATCAACATTAATATCACCGAGGAGAGGCAGGTGGAGATCACGTTTCTCCAGATGTGACTCTTGGAGGATACAACATCACTTCTGAAGTATGCTGGCCGAGCACGCACACTGCAACTCATCACGGACAACTTCACACTCACCCAAAAGGAAAAATGAAGACTGTATTTTTCTTTTCTCTTTTCTTTTTTTTTTTTTTTTTTGAGATGGAGTCTTGCTTTGTCACCCAGGCTGGAATGTAGTGGCGTGATCTCGGCTTGGCTCACTGCAACCTCTGCCTCCCAGGTTCAAGCGATTCTCCTACCTTAGCCTCCTGAGTAGCTGGGACTACAGGTGCCCACCACCACGCCCGGCTAAATTTTGTATTTTTAGTAGAGACAGGGTTTCACCATGTTGGTCAGGCTGGTCTTGAACTCCTGACCTCATGATCTGCCTGCCTTGGCCTCCCAAAGTGCTGGGATTACAGGTGTGAGCCACTGCACCTGGCCAAGACTGTATTTTTCTAAAGCATTGATATTGTAAAAGAAAGAGAAAGTCTGTGGAAACATTTCAGATTAAAGGAGGCTAAAGGGACATGGAAGGGCCTGGCATAGTGGTTCATGCCTGTAATCCCAGCACTTTGGGAGGTTGAGGCAGGAGAATAGCTAGAGCACAAGAATTTGAGACCAGCTTGGGGAACACAGTGAGACCCTTGTCTCTAAAAGGAAAAAAAAAAAAAATTAGCTGGACATGACATGGAAGGACCAGACATGGTGGCTCATGTCTGTGATCCCATCCCACCTACTTGGGAGACTGACGCAGGAGGATCTCTTTTTTTTTTTTTTTTTTTTGAAATGGAGTCTTGCTCTGTCGCCTAGGCTGAGTGCAGTGGCGCAATCTTGGCTCAGTGCAAGCTCTGCCTCCCAGGTTCACACCATTCTCCTGCCTCAGCCTCCCAAGTGGCTGGGACTACCACGCCCAGCTAAATTTTTTGTATTTTTTTTTTAGTAGAGACGGGGTTTCACTGTGTTACCCAGGATGGTCTTGATCTCCTGACTTCGTGATCTGCCCGCCTTGGCCTCCCAAAGTGCAGGAGGATCTCTTGAGCCCAGGAGTTCAAGGCTGCAGTGAGCCATGATCATGCCACTGTACTCCAGCAGCCTGGGTACTGCACCTGGCCACCTTGTCTCTTAAAACAAAAAACAAAAACAAACAAACAAAAATGTGGCTGGGCGTGGTGGCTCACACCTGTAATCCCAGCACTTTGGGAGGCTGAGGAGCGCAGACTGCTTGAGGCCAGGAGTTCAAGACCAGTCTGGCCAACATGGTGAAGCCCCATCTCTACCAAAAATACGGGGGGAAAAAAAAAAGCCAGGCGTGGTGGTGCCCACTTGTGATCCCAGCTACGCAGGAGACTGAGGCATGAGAATTGCTTGAACCCAGGAGTCAGAGGTTGCAGTGAGCCAAGATCATACCACTGCACTCCACTCTGAGCAACAGAGTGAGACTCCTTCCCAATAAACAACAAACAAACAAAATGGGACATGGAAGCTACATGAAACAATGGACTCAGACTGAATCCTAAAGGGGCACTGAGAAAATTTTAATGTGGATAGTACATTAAAGTATCGTATGAAGGTACAATTTATTAGAGTTGATAACTATCCTGTGGTTATGTAAGAAACTATCACTAATCTGAGGAAATATTTATGGGAAAGGGGCCATGATGTATGCCTTCAAATGGCTTCGAAAAATATATATTGGGAATGATGTACATGTATACATTGAGAGAGTGAGAGAGAGAGAACGAGCGAGAAGGGGAGAGAGCCCGCAAACAAATGATAAAGTAAATGGGGTAGAAGATGAATAATTTGCGAACTGGATGAAGCACATCCGTGTGCTGTTCTTTGTAGAGTTCTTACTCTTGCATCTTTTCTGTAGGTTGGAACATTTCCCAAACAAAAAGCAAAAAATCAAAAAGAAAGAAGCCAGTATCTACCAGACAAGGCAGTGTGCAAGGCAGTTTCCCAGAGGGAGGGAAACACAAAGCCCTCCTCGGAGGAGAAGTAACTCACTGAGAAGAAGGCTGATCCTGGGGCATGTTTGACACTGGTCCTCCGCCGGCCCCGTGCAGTGGAAGCACTTAGTGTGGCAGGGCTTGCACTCAGGAGCATCCTCATCCCAGTACTCGGAGGGGCCACATTTCTTGTTGGCCAGGCAGCTCCCATGAGGGTTCATCCTCAGGCCTTTCTGACAGGCGGTGCAGGTCCCAGACGATGAGCAGGTCAAGCAGGACTTGTGACAATCTGTGGGCATGGAGGGGCAGCAGACAGAGTAAGAGCCAGGATGGCCGTCGGGGGAATGGGCTTCCCCTGGGAAAGGGTGTTCACATTCCTTCCACATTTCTTCCGGAGATTTCCAGAGCTCTGGGCCGAGGGCGTGGGACCATGAGTTGGGTACAGCCCTTGAGCTCTGGGGTGGACCATTCTTTTGCAAAATGAGAGACAAGTATTATTTTATTTTCTGTTGTATCCAGGGAGTGCCTTCCTGCAACGGCCACCTCAGAAATATTAGTAAGGCTCACTATAATTACCCAAACTGCAGCAAAATAATAACAAGCCATTCTGTAACAGCACTGAATTTTCCACCATCACATCTACTGTTATGGTCCTCCAGTCACTTCCGGAGTACCTTGAACTTATCGCCAATACACCAATTGTTGGAATGTATTTAATTGTTTGTTGACAAATGAAGGTCCCTTTTGCATTTATTTTTGAATACATAGTGCCTATGAGAGAGCCTGGCATGTAACAGGAATCGATAATTATTTGTTAGAAAAAGAAAATAACAATTCTCTTCCACCTCTAGGTTTTCTTTTTCTGTATTTAGATAGAGATGGGGGCTGGGTGCAGTGGCTTACGCCTGTAATCCTGGCACTTTGGGAGGCCAAGATGGGTGGATTGCTTGAGCCCAGGAGTTCGAGACCAGCCTCAGCAACATGGCAAAACACTGTCTCTAGAAAGAACACAAAAATTAGCCAGGCATGGTGGCGGGCACCTGTAGTCCAAACTACTCAGGAGGCTAAGGTGGAAGGATCTCCTGAACCCAGGAGGTCAAGGCTGAAGTGAGCTGTGATCGCACCACTGCACTCCAGCCTGGGTGACAGAGCAAGACCCTGTCTCAGGAAAAATAAATAAATAAATAAAAAATAGAGATGGGCCTTCACTTTACTGCCTAGGCTGGTCTTGAACTCCTGGCCTCAAGTGATTTTTCTGCCTTGACCTCCCAAAGGGCTGGGATTACAGGTATGAGCCACTGCACCAGGCCGACCATCTCTGGGATTTAGTAGTTGCTGTTCTCTCTGCCTAGAATTCTCTTCTCCCAGATGCATTCATGGTTTGCTTCCTCCCTTTCTCAATGAAATCTAAGACATCTCTCAAGTTTTATCTCCATCCTGCGTATCTTCCTGTCCTGACCCTCTGCCTTACTTTTGCTCTTGTCTTTAGTACCTGTCTTCCCTAATAGAATGTGAGCTCCATGAGGGCAGGGACTGTCTCACTCCCTGCTGTTCCCCAGGCCTGAAAGAGCACACGGCACACAGCAGTCCCCACTGTAAGCATTCCCTGGGTGGATACGTGCATGGTATTATTATTGCTTATATTATCCTCTCATTTTATCTAAATCAGGAAATTGAGGCTGGAGATGCTAAGTCACTCACGCTAAGTAGTATCAGGAGTTGAGCCCAAGACCTCAGCAACTGCCTCCCTGCTTCTGCCCCAGTGCCTCAGGAAAGGTATGGGACTTTTGGAGGTGTCTGTACTATCTGTTAGGGGATAATCTGCATGATTGGAATGGATCCAAAGTCCTTGTGTTTCTTAGAGAAGATCCTGCTTACAGATTTTTTTTTTTTTTCCTATAGGTTCTTGCTCCATCACCCAGGCTAGAGTGCAGAGATGTGATCATGGCTCACTGAAACATTGACCTCCCAAGCTAAAGTGATGTCCCTATCTCAGCCTCTCGAGTAGCTGGGACTACAGGCACACACCACCACATCTGGCTAATTTTTGTATTATTATTTTTGTTTTAGAAATAGGGTCTTGCTATGTTGCCCAGGCTGGTCTCAGATTCCTCCCGCCTTGGCCTCCCAAAGAGATTACAGATGCGTGCCACCGTGCCCAGCTGAGATTGCTCCATTCTAAATGCTTCTCTACATTTCCCTGAATCTTAATTTTCAGATCAGGTTCTTTGTGTTCTCTCTCTGGAAAGTCAGGTTGTCACTGTGTTTCTTCCAATATCACATTCCTCCCCATCCCTTTGGTCTGGTAGAAAGTGCAATGGCGGCCGGGCGCAGTGGCTCACACCTGTAATCCCACCACTTTGGGAGGCCGAGGCAGGTGGATCACCTAAGGTCGGGAGTTCGAGACCACCCTGACTAACATGGAGAAACCCCATCTCTACTAAAAATACAAAATTAGCCGGGCATGGTGGCACAGGCCTGTAAATCCAGCTACTCAGGAGTCTGAGGCAGGAGAATCGCTTGAACCAGAGAGGCAGAGGTTGCGGTGAGTTGAGATCGTACCATTGCACTCCAGCTTGGGCAACTAGAGTGAAACTCCATCTCAAAAAAAAAAAAAAAAAAAAAGAAAGAAAGAAAAAGAAAGAAAGTTCAATGGCATTGTAGGGAGACGCCTCAAGTGAGTTTTCAACTCTGTCCTCACCAGGTGCTTAACTTCTCAAAGCATCTATTTGCTTCTCAGAAAAATGGAGAAAATTGCCATTTACCTACCTCATTGGCTCTCAACCCACACTAAGCATCAGAATTACTGGCAGTGGGAGAAGGAATTACAATGTTGGGTGCAGGCATCTGTGGTTGTTAGAGCTGCTCAGGTGATTCTAATGGGCAGCCAGGGGCCTTTCTCAAGGAGATAATTAAATCAGATAAATTAAGAAAACATACTCTGAGACCTGTAAAACTCTCTGTATGGTAAATTACTTTCATTATTCAACACCAGAGAAAGGCCAGAAGTTGAACCTCAGTTCCTGCCCTCGCACAGGCAAGATGGCGCTGAAGGCCCGCGGCTGAGTCTCCCACGTCCCAGAAGCCGTCCCCAGCTCCACAGCCTGCCTCCTACATGAACGTCCGCCTCTGCTGCCTGCGGGCACAGCCTGGACAGCCATGCTTTTTCGCATATGGGCATTAACACTAAATAGTGCTTTATATAAAACACACAAAAAGGCATATCCACATCACAAGGCCGGAGCAGAAAGCCTTCAGGACGGAGACACATCTTCATGTCCTACCAAAAACCTTTCCCTGAGTATGTCCTGGGGCGTGGGTGTCCCAGGGTTTCTCAGTGGAAGGTCATTCTCAGACTCTCGCGGTTGTTAGGGGAACTGCCTCTGGACATCTATCTCGTGTTTGCTTGGGGGCAACATAGTGGGGGTGAAGGACCGCAGGCTGCCTCATCGGAGTGAATCCTGGGGCTCTAGAAAAGCCCCCTGGCCCACAACATTTCTCTCACTTGCTAGAGAATTCTAGAGTGCATCACTTATTTTATTTTTCTGTTCCTTGATAATGAATCAGAGGCAAATTATTCATGCCGAGCTAAAACGTAAGGAGGTATAAATGATAGCAGAGCCTTTCTTGAACATGTAGGGACTGAGTGGGAGTGGAAATGGGGACCTTGGAGCAGGAATTGAAAGATATGGAGAGGAAGGTGGGGAGCTTCCAGGGAGCAAACCATGAAGGGAGGCTGGGCGCGGTGGCACACGCCTGTAATCCCAGCACTTTGGGAGGCCGGGGTGAGGTTAGGCATTCGAGACCAGCCTGGCCAACATGGTGAAACCCTGTCTCTACTAAAAATAGCCTGGCCAACATGGTGAAACCCTGTCTCTACTAAAAATACAAAAATTAGCTGGGTGTGGTGGCAGGTGCCTGTAACTTAGCCACTTCAGGAGGCTGAGGCAGGAGAACCACTTGAACCCAGGAGGTGGAAGCTGCAGTGAGCTGAGATCATGCCACTGCACTCCAGCCTGGGCAACAGAGCGAGACTCCATCTCAAGAACAACAACAACAAAACATGGGCCTAGTGCTATGGCTCATGCTTGTAATCCCAGCACTTGGGAAGGAAGTAGGCAGGAGGATCACTTGAGGTCAGGAGGTTGAGACCAGCCTGGCCAACATGGTGAAACCCTGTCTCTACTAAAAATACAAACATTAGCAGGGTATGATGGCGCATGCCTGTAGTCCTAGTTATTTAGGAGCCTGAGGCAGGCGAATCGCTTGAACCCAGGAGGCAGAGATTGTAGTGAGCCGAGATCGTGCCACCACATTCCAGCCGACAGAGTGAGACTCTGTCTCAAAAAAAAAAAAAAAAAATTTCACCCATGAAGGGAGACAAGAGGCACCAAGAAAGTTTTTTTTTTTGCTTGTGCTATAAACTTTTAATGGCTTAACATTTCAAGAAAAGTCTCGGGTAACTTTTGAAGGCTCCTTCTCTCTGCTGTAAACGTTTATATGAGAATTTTTTTGACCAGCAGTTCATAGCCACTATTGTGAGGAAGGTCCATGTGACTTGTCACTAGCAAAAGTTACCTGTACAAAGCTTATGAGCGGTTCATTTAAAAATTATTTACAACCGATTCAAAATATGCCTCCTTGAGTGAGAGGGTAAGAGGGTAAGTGAGAGGATGAGACAGGCTGGACATGGTGGCTCACACCTGTAATCCCAGCACTTTGGGAGGCCAAGGCAGAGGATTGCTTGAAACCAGGAGTTCAAGACTAGCCTGGGCAACATTCTGAGACCTCATCTCTATGTTCCCAGCAACTCTGGAGGCTGAAGTGGGAGGATCACTTGAGCCCAGGAGGCAGAGGCTTCAGTGAGCCATGTTTATGCCACTGAACTCGAGCCTGGGAGACAGAGGGAGACCTTGTCTCAAAAAAAAAAAAAAAAAAAAAGATGACAGCTCTGGGGCTGGGGCTGGGGCTGGGGCTGGGGCTGGAACTGCAAACCCCGGAGCCTACTTTGAATCCCAGAAGTCTTTACCTCTGCACTCGTTAGTCTCTTTTTCATAATAGGTTCCTGCTGGACACTCCTCCAAGCACAGCCCATCATAGAGGACCCAGGAACTCTCACGACAGAGCTCGCAGTCGTCGACTTCGGGGCCACTGCACTCCAGACAGTCTTTATGGCAGGGGACACAGTGGCGCGAGTCTGAGTAGAAGCCACGGGGACAGGACTGGTGGCACATATCATCATGCAGGAAGAACTCAGGCATGCACTCTGGGGAAAGGAGGAAGCAGCAAGTTATCCCCGGGGGACAGAAGAAAGGAATCCATTGTCCACAGTGGGCTAGCTCCTCCCTCAGCACTTTGGTTGATTTGACCTGAGAGTACCCTAGCCCTTTCCCCACCCTGCCAGGGCAGAGGCTTGATGTCTAACAAGCCCTGCCTTGGGAGGAGGAGGTCACACATGGTGACCATATTAGATGGTGCTGGACTTACGCACTGAAATGGTCTGCCCTTTGGAGGTGCAAAAAATTGCAACGCTGCAAAAGACAAGGATGGCTGAGAGGCTAGCAGTATTGTTTGAAAACCCTGAAGAGCATTAACAGATTTAAAAAATTGTATCGGGAACTTCACACTCTGTTTGATACAAAGCAGTTTAGGAATGGTTGGATTAGTTAACTTTTCATTCATTGATCAGGTACCACAATGAATAAAGGATTGATCAGTGTGAAGAATACATTGAGGGTTTATTTTATTTGTGTTCATTTTCTTACTTTGGGGGGAATCCTGGAAAACACTTGAGGTCACACCAAGAGAATACTTTGGATAGGACAGCACCAGTTAAATGAGTCTGTCTTATTCTGGAGAGAAAACTGTCTTATTCTGGAGGTTTTTTTGGGGAGATAATTCCTGAGGGAAAAAAACAAAACCTGTTCATAGCCAGAGCCGTCATCTCAGTCATAGTTGCCCAAACTTTTCTTTCTTATCCTTTTTAACAATTGTAGTTTTTGGCCGGGCATGGTGGCTCACGCCTGTAATCTCAGCACTTTGGGAGGCCGAGACGGGTGGATCACGAGGTCAGGAGATCGAGACCATCCTGACTAACACGGTGAAACCCCGTCTCTACTAAAAATACAAAAATTAGCTGGGCGCGGTGGCAAGCGCCTGTAGTCCCAGCTACACGGGAGGCTGAGGCAGGAGAATGGCGTGAACCTGGGAGGTGGAGCTTGCAGTGAGTGGAGATCACGCCACCGCACTCCAGCCTGGGCGACAGAGTGAGACTCTGTCTCAAAAACAAAAACAAAAACAAAAAATTGTAGTTTTCCAGCTACCTCTGTGTTTTGTGGCTTACTATCAGTCTATAAGATTTTGTGTTCAAAAAGATGGGAACGGCTGGGCATGGTGGCTCACGCTTGTAATCCCAGCACTTTGGGAGGCCGAAGCCGGCGGATCACCTAACGTCGGGAGTTCGAGACCAGCCCGATCAACGTGGAGAAACCGCGTCTCTACTAAACATGCAAAATTAGCTGGGCGTGGTGGCGCATGCCTGTAATCCCAGCTACTCTGGAGGCTGAGGCAGGACAATCGCTTAAACACGGAAGGCAGAGATTGTACCGTTGCACTTCCTTAATCTCATAACAGCAGCCTCTCGGCGGTCGGTCAAGCTAAATCCATTAGCTTATGTCTGACTTGCGAAACTCCATCTCAAGAAAAAAAAAAAAAAAGATGAGAACATTGGGTTCTTCTCTGTATCGCTAGCACCTAGGATAGCACTTGCACACCTGCTGTGTGTGTACATGTGGGTGTGTGTGTAAGAAATCACACAAAAAGGGGCTCTTGCTTGTCTTAGCTTGCAGCATCTGTAATGAAAAGATACTTGAGTGTATCTCACACTCAAGTTTTCTGATGATAGGCACAGAGACATACATTTCAGGAATGGCAGGGACACGGGTTCCCACAGCCCTTTGCCATCCACCATCAGATAATTGGCCCCCACCCAGTGGCTCAGCAGAGCCTCGCTCTCCCATGGGAAGCTCCCGGGTACCTTTGCATGTTTTCTCATGGATGCAGTCCTGACACATCTCTGGACAATGCTTGCACACCCCCTCCACAGCCACGTGCCTCTCGGGGCAGGTTTCCCAGCACACTCCGTGGTGCAGGACGAGGCCTCCTTCACAAGAATGGCAGTTGGTGGTGTTTCCTTCACACGTTCTGCAAGGAGAGCTACAACGTTCACACACGCCATCTTCTGCGTAAGAGCCCCTGTGGAAGGAAAAGAGAGTGCAACTGGAGAAGCTGCCCTGCTGCAGAAGTGATTCTTTCCTGCGGAAAAGGAATTAGGGCTAAAAACAAAAGGGCTGCCGCTGTTGTCAGCTGAGAGGCATCCACGGGATTTATGAGGAAGTGAAAAAGAACATTCAGAAAAACGTAAGGAAAAGGACAGGCATTATTCTTGTGAAAGGAAAATAAATCTTGGGACCCCAATATTACTAAGCCAAACGGAAAAATCAAGCTGGGAACTGCTTAGGGCAAACCTGCCTCCCACTCTATTCCTTAAAAAGATAGCTACTAGTCGGACGCGGTGGCTCACGCTTGTAATCCCAGCACTTTGGGAGGCTGAGGCAGGCAGATCATGGGTCAGGAAATCAAGACCATTCTGGCCAAGACGGTGAAACCCTGTCTCTACTTAAAATACAAAAATTAGCTTGGCGTGGTGGTGCGCGCTTATAGTCCCAGCTACTCGGGAGGCTGAGGCAGCAGAATCAGTTGAACCTGGGAGGCAGAGGTTGCAGTGAGCCGATATCGCGCCATTGGGCTCCAACCTGGCGACACAGCGAGACTATGTCTCAAAAAAAAAAAAAAAAAAAAGATAGTTACTAAGATTTTAAAAAGCTACAATGGGTTGGGTAGGGTGGCTCACGCCTGTAATCCCAGCACTTTGGGAGGCCGAGGCAGATGGATCACCTGAGATCAGGAGTTTGAGACTGGCCTGGCAAAACCCCATCTCTACTAAAAATATGAAAATTAGCTGGGTGTGATGGCACATGCCTGTAGTCCCAGGTACTCAGGAGGCTGAGGCAGGAGAATCGTTTGAACCCGGAAGGTGGAGGTTGAGGTGAGTCAAGATCACACCACTGCACTCCAGCCTGAGTGATAGAGTGAGACTCTATCTCAAAAAAAAAAAAAAAAAAAGCTTCAATGTACATCTTACATATATTGATTGATGTCTCATGTCTCCCTAAAAAGTATAAAATCAAGCTGTGCCCTGCCTACCTTGGGCGCATGTCATCAGGACCTCCTGAGGCTACGTCACTGGCTTGTGGGCACGTGTCCTTAACTGTGGCAAAATAAACTTTCTAAATTGACTGAGACCTGTCTCAGATATTTGGGGTTCACATTCTTGTGAATTTGATTGGTTTGAGAACTGTTGTTAATTTTGTTAATTTGTATGTAGTTTAGTCATCTTCTCTTTTCTCTATATGACCTCCTAATTTTCATTATTGTTTCTTTCTTTTTGTTAGAGCCTAACTTTAGAGTAGAAAATATTTTTTATTCAATTAATACATTTTAAAAACATTTAATAAACTTAAAAAATACTTCCAAAAGGCTCAAAAGGGTTCATACCCTGTCAGATTGGAACCACTGGATGCTCTCACCCAGTCTCTGATGACTTTTTTCAAGCACGTACATATGAACATTTGCACACAGCACTAAATATAGTTGAGTACCAGTATGTTTGTGCAAATGACCTTCTTCCAGGCAGAATCTTATGTCTGTATATCTAGAACCCCAATGATTATCCCATTATAGAAATCACTCACTGGTGGGGGAGCACAGTAAAATATAAAACCCCAGTCCTCTCAAATATATTTGGGAGATGAGGAATGGATAGATGAGGTTTCCTTTTTTCTTTTTCTAAAAAATACTTTAAGTTCTGGGGTACATGTACAGAACATGCCGGTTTGTTACATAGGTATACATGTGCCATGGTGGTTTGCTGCACCCATCAACCCATCACCTACATTAGGTATTTTTCCTAATGCTCTCCCTCCCCTAGCCCCTCACCCCCCGACAGGCCCTGGTGTGTGATGTTCCCCTCCCTGTGTCCATGTGTTCTCATTGTTCAACTCCCACTTATGAGTGAGAACATGCAGGGTTTGGTTTTCTGTTCTTGTTAGTTTGCTGAGAATGAAGGTTTCCAGCTTCATCCATGTCCCTGCAAAGGACATGAACTTAGATGAGGTTTCTTTGGTGGGAAAAGCTGAAGGGAAGAGCTGGAACTTGCAGAAGAGGAAGAACCAAGAAGCCAGCTTAGAGAAAATGGACTTCTGATGCCATGGGTACTTACTGCAATTGCTTTCTATCATGATCCATTAGTGAGTTGGTGCCATAATAGTGCTGTGTCACAAACCACCCCAACCCAGAACTTGGTGGCTTAAAACAACAATCATTTACTCTCACTCATGTGTGGGGGGAAGCAGATCTAGGCTGGGCTTGGCAGGCTTGACTCCAGGCTGCACACTGAGTCCACGTCTTCACATCTCTCTATTTTCCCTGGCTACAGGGACTACCAGGGGACGTTCTCACAGCTGTGACAGAAGTGCAGAAGGGTAAGTTCAATCAGGTACATTTTATGCCTCCACCTTTCTTCTGCTAACATGTCATTGGCCAAAGCAAGTCACATAACCCAGTCAAAGTCAAGGGACAAGGAAGTCCATTTCGCCTCCAGTGGCGCTGGTACAAAGTTGCAGTCAGTGGGCATGAATACAAGGAGTGGTGAAGGACTACAACAAATAACCCAATCTACCAGAGACCTTTTAAAATCGCAAGCCAGGGAGGGATCTGCTCCTGCACAGCATTTTCACTTGATGTTTTAATTAATTAGCGCTCACACGTTTAATCATTCTTTCAGTCATTTATTTATTGTATGCATTCAGTAAACAAAAATATATTGAGTGTGCCAGGAAGAAATAGGACGGGGGTGAACAGAAGTCACATTTCTTTGTTTTGTTTTGTTTGAGACAGGGTCTTGCTCTGTTGCCCAGGCTGAAGTGCAGTGTCGTGATCTCGACTCACTGCAACCTCCGTCTCCCGGGTTGAAGCGATTCTTGTGCCTCAGCCTCCTGAGTAGCTGGGACTACAGGCATGCACTACCATGCCTGGCTAATTTTTGTGTTGTTAGTAGAGACGGGGTTTCACCATGTTGGCCAGGCTGGTCTGGAACTCCTGACCTCAAGTGATCTGCCTGCCTTGGCCACCCAATTACAGGTGTGAGCCACTGCGCCCAGCCAAAAAGTTATGTTTCTGATATAGTTTCAGGTAAGAACAACTGGAGAAGAAAGCAATTTAGGTAGAAGAGAGAAAAAGAAATAGCATCCAGATAAAAGCTAAGATCAGGCTTCCTCACACATTAGTACCCTTAGCTTTTTTTGACCATGACAGAGAATGCTTGAAGAAGAGACTCAGCTACTTTGCCCAAACAAAGTCTATCTCTTAAAAATGAAGACAGTGGATGGCAATGTGTTATATGCTCACCAGGAGTTTGACTGGATTTGAGAAATCTGAAATTAAGGAAATTTAGTGCATTCTTAAATAGATCACATTCTTTTTTTTTTTGAGACAAGGTCTGGCTCTGTTGCCCAGGCTGGAGTGCAGTGGTGCGATCATGGCTCACTGCAGCCTCGACTTGCTGGGCTCAATGATCCTCCCATCTCGGCCTCCTGAGTAGCTAGGACTACAAGTCTGTGCCACCACACTGGGCTATTTTTAAATTTTTATCCTTTTTTTGTGTGTGTGTAGAGATGGGGGTCTTACTATGTTGCCCAAGCTGGTCTCAAACTCCTGGCCTCAAGCAGTGCGCCCACCATGGCCTCCCGAAGTGCTGGGATTACAGGTGCACCTTACCAATCACACCTTCTAATGGAATGAAAATTTGATGGATTCATTGTTCCTGTATGCATAGTAAAGAATTTGACCTCACCCAAAGAGAAGTCTAGTCTTTCTCTTCAGCTAATCTCAAAACCTTTGGAATTTCCTAAGAGATAGGGGTGTCTTTGTTATTCATGATGGGCCTCTCTTGCCACACCTGAGAGTTGGTGCTGGGATGCCTCAGAGTGGGGACAGCCACATCTCGTAAGCTTATGGTGGGAGCTGGTGTGCCACAACGATCCACTCTGTGTTTAAAGGAGGGGAGCTGTGTGATATCAGGCCTACCTCCAGGGAATCTCAATGTTAGGCCTGGTCAAGACCTCTGGACACTGAAGATGATGAATGCTAATATAGAGCCTAAAAAGATGCATCGTGAAGGAATCTTTTTCAGATCCCTCTCAGAAGAGGGTCAGTGGATGTTGGATGAGATGCTGAAATGAAAGAAATGGATTCAAGCAAAAAGAAAAAAAAAATAAAACTCTTGAAGTGGCTCATGCCTGTAATCCCAGCACTTTGGGAGGCCCAGATGGGCAGATCACCTGAGGTCAGGAGTTCAAGACCAGCTTGGCCAACACATGGCGAAATGCTGTCTCTACAAAAATACAAAAATTAGTCGAGCGTGATGGCAGGCACCTGTAATCCCAGCTACTCGGGAGGCTGAGGCAGGAGAATCGCTTGAACCCAGGAGGCAGAAATTGCAGTGAGCTGATATTGCACCACTGCACTCCAGCCTGGCTGACAGAGCGAGACTCTGTCTTAAAAAAAAAAAAAAAAAAAAAAAAAGGTGAATATCAGAAGCTGTCGGGAGACAGCCAGAAGGCAACTTGAGAGGTGATTTTTAAGGAGCCACTTGCTAAAAGTAGTCTTCTCCACACAGATCTGCCTGCGAGTTTGTCCTCCTTTCCGCTCTCTGCATTCATAAAACTGTTTTTCTTAGTGCTTTATTTCACAATTATTTTATTTAAGAAGACTACTATTTGTTTTGGAAAGAAATGGTTGCATATACTAAATTGTTAAATTCAAATTACTTTGTGTTGCAGTCTTTCAGCTCAGATAAATCCATGTCTTGTGAAAGCTGTGTGGTCCAGGACCTTCACCTCCATTTCACAGACACCAAGACAGCGACCGGCAGCACTTAAAGGAAGGCCGTATTTCTTCAACAGAGCTTCAAATCTGTTCACGTTTGGTGAATGTGAGTCCACCTTAAGTTTTCTGTTGCTTTTTAAACAGCCACCATAATGATATGTGTTACTGGCATGGTGGCTCATGCTTGTAATCCCAGCACTTTGAAAGGCCAGGTTGGGTGGATCACCTGAGGTCAGGAGTTCAAGACCAGCCTGGCCCACGTGGTGAAACCCCATCTCTGCTAAAAATACAAAAAATTAGCTGGGCGTGGTGACAGATGCCTGTAATTCCAGCTACGTGGGAGGCTGAGGCAGGATAATTGCTTGAACCTGGGAGGTGGAGGTTGCAGTGAGCTGAGATGGCGCCATTGCACTCCAGCCTGAGCCGTAAGAGTGAAACTCCATCTCAAAAACCAAACCAAAACAAAAGATACATGTTACTGTTAAAATCTATTTTTGGCCGGGTGCAGTGGCTTATGCCTGTAATCCCAGTACTTTGGGAGGCCAAGGTGGGTGGATCACAAGGTTAGGAGTTTGAGACCAGCCTGGCCAACATGGTGAAACCTCATCTCTACTAAAGATAGAAAAAAAAAAAAAAAGCTGAGTGTGGTGGCATGAGCCTATAATCCTAATGACTCAGGAGGCTGAGGCAGGAGAATTGCTAGACCCTGGGAGGCAGAGATTGCAGTGAGCAGAGATAGCGCCATTGCACTTCAGCCTGGGTGACAGAGTGAGACTCAGTCTCAAACAAACAAAACAAAACAAAACAAAACAACTTTTTTTTTTTTTTCATGAACATATACTATATTTGAAAAAGCAGGGGCCACTAAATGCTAACTTATAAATAGCTCTGAATATCTGGATGCTGTGTCATTGCAGGTTATGTTCCTGTTATAAATCTTATTGCTGTTCTAGGATGGATCACACCCAAAAGGGTGATTTCTCAGAAACAGCAATAAAGCTTCCAAGATAAGCTGAATATTATATGTTCCTCAGACTCTGTGTCTTCTGTTGTTAGTTTTCTTTCTTTTCTTTTCTGTAAACACAAAGATGAGGGATTCCACTATAATCAGATCACCCTACCCATAGCAGGAGGGCATATGCTTGCAATTCTACAGTCTGCAATATTCCTAGGCCATGCTTGTAGCTTTCCTACTGCTCGAGAAATACAGACTATATTGACTGCTGCATGTCTGCATAGTATCTCATTGCTCCATGGAAATGCTTCACCCCAGACTTGGAGGTAAAAAATGTTGAGCGGTCAACTAACTGGCGTAAAGCAAAATACACTCTTTCTTCCTTGTTTTAATGAGTTGTGAATTCCTGGAACACTCAAAGAACCCAAGAGAGCGTTGAAAAAGGTAATGATTAAATAAATAAGGCAATAATAATGAAATCAGTTCAATCCTACCACTGAGGAAGCAATGACTGACTCTGGTAAGCAGCTCTCTGACTTTCACCTTCGCTTTATTGTAACACTTGGCTGAGTTTGCTGTGGCGTGGGGGAGCTCGGTTGATAGGGGAGGAGGACTGGGAGTTTCCAAACCTGCCTTCTCACCTGGGTTCTCTTACTCTGACCCTTTGCTACCCTTTCTCCACTCTCTGCTTGACAAATTCCTTCCAGAGCTAGTGACCATCAAGCTTTTTCTCGAATACCCAGCCGGGGATGAAGCTGGAAAACATTCTGCTAAGTCAAAAAGTCTGTCACAAAAAAACATGTTTTGTCTTTTTTGTTTTATACGTTTTGTTTTCATTTTCAGAGACAGGGTCTTGCTACGTTGCTCAGGCTGACCTTGAACTCCTGGGCCCAAGCAATTCTCCAGCCTTGGACTCCTGATAGCTGGGACTGGAGGTGTGTACCATGGCCACCACGCTTGGTTCAAAGACCACATTTTATACAATTCCATTTATAGGAAATGTCCAAGAATAGCAAATCTATAGGGACAGGAAGTAGATTAGTGGTTGCTAAGGGCTGGGGGAAATGGAAAAAGTAGGAATAATGGCTAAAAGGGTATAGGGTTTCTTTCTAGGTTGATGAAAATGTTCTGAAATTGATTGTGGTAATGGTTGCATAACTCTGTGAATATACTAAAAAACAGTGAATTATACACTTTTGGGGTGAATTGTATGGTATGTGAATTGTCTCAATAAAGTTGTGATTAAAAAAAATTATACAAGAAGGCAGCACTGAGTGATAGTTAAGCACATGGACTTCAATGCCAGAGAGGTTTGGGTTCAAATTCTGACCACACCATGTGTCTGACATATAAAATGGATTCTGCTATTCTTTTCCTCATCTGTCAAACGAGGGAAAATAATAGTATGTGAATAAGAGAATTCTTGTGAGAATTAATGGGATCATACATTTAAAGCTCTTAGCACAATACCTGAACATTGCAAGCATTCAAAAAATAGTGATTTAAAATGTTTTCTTTTCCCTTGGAATCTCTTAGCCTTTTGTATATTAAGGCTCTGAGAAGTGTGACGTTGCCTGATGTAAACCTCCCTTACTGGATTGTAAGCATTTTGCAGACCCAGACTTCCTTCAGTGGGTCTTAACTTAGCTTTCCATATCAAGGATCAATATCAATATCAATATCAATTGTTGGTAGAAGAATAGACTCCACTGAGCTACATATATACAATACAATCTATTGATATTGTATCAGTATCAGTTTTTACATCTAGTTGGTGCTAAATATGTATCTGTGTTGTTGAGGTGAATATGCTTGGCTTTCTACACTAGATTGGATGCTTTTTGAGAATAAATACCTTATATTTATATTTATACTCATTACTTATATTTATACTCTATATATAGAGTCTATCTCAGTAATGAAAACAAATAGGTCACTAGGAAATAGGTGCCATTTTTGCTTTTTCCTTTTTTGTTTTTTTCGAGTCGGAGTTTCGCTCTTGTTGCCCAGGCTGGAGTACAATATTGTGATCTCAGTTCACCACAACCTCCACCTCCCGGGTTTGAACGAGTCTCCTGCTTCAGCCTCCCGAGTAGCTGGGATTACAGGCATAGGACACCACACCCGGCTAATTTTGTATTTTTAGTAGAGGCGGGGTTTCTCCATGTTGGTCAGGCTGGTCTTGAACTCCCGACCTCAGGTGATCTGCCTGTCTCGGCCTCCCAAAGTGCCGGGATTACAGGTGTGAGCTACCATGCCCAGCCAGGAAACAGGTGTCGTTGTATCAAATTCTTTTACTAAGAGGGCAAAAGAAAATCCTAACTCCTTAAAGTAGACACTGTCAGTTACTTCCCCAAATTTATTTCCTGCCTTCCTCTCTCCATTCTTCCTGGCTGTCAGAGTCCTGAGTTGTTTGGGTGCTCAGGGGTAAATCTTGTCCAGCCTGAACCACGCCTATATTTCCATTCTTTTGGCCAGAGATTGATTTAGGGAGGTATCCGTGATGCATTCTTGGGACTGAGATTAGCAGGGAAGTCTGAGGAAATTTTCTTTTCTCTCAAGAAAAGGATAAACAAGGGGAAACATCCCCTTTCCTGGCCCTGATCCTGGCTGCATGGGGTGACAGTGTCTGGAGCTGAGACACACAACGTGGGCTCAGCAGCGGCACCGGTCAGAGAGGACGAGCTAAGGAAGGTACAAGAGCAAAACAGAAGAACCAGACTTTGTGATGACCTTCTTGGCCGCTGAAGTGACCGATACTGGACTTGCAACATTTTTGTTCTGTGAGATAATAAACCCTGTTATGTCTCAGTCATTTTACTTGGCATTTCTGTTGCTTATTGCTGAAAGTTTCTTGCTGTACTCTTCCATTTGCTATTCCTCACTTTCTTCCTAGGTAAATTCTGGAGGTGGGACCATTGGTAGGAAGAGTAAAGCAATTACAAACCAGGGGACCAAGGAAACCAGGAGGAATCAATAACTAACTAACCAAGTATTATTTATTATTTATAATTCATGCCTCACCTGTTTAAACCTTTAGAAGAGGTTCACATCACAGCCTTACTTTTGTAATGGAGGAAAAAAGAAAAACCATGACAACAGTTGATCATTAAGGTGGGAAAATAACTTTTTCTTTTTCTTTTTTTAAAGAGACAGGATCCTGCTTTGTCATCCAGGCTGGAGTGCAGTGGCGCAATCACAGCTCACTGCAATCTCCTGGGCTCAAGGAATCCTCCCGCCTCAGCCTCCCAAGTAGCTGGGACTACAGGCACCCACTGGCTAAGTTGTTTTTTTTTTTTTTTGAGACGGAGTCTTGCTCTATTGCCCAGGCTGGAGTGCAGTGGCCGGATCTCAGCTCACTGCAAGTTCCGCCTCCCAGGTTAACGCCATTCTCCTGCCTCAGCCTCCCGAGTAGCTGGGACTACAGGCGGCCGCCACCATGCCCAGCTAATTTTTTGTATTTTTAGTAGAGACGGGGTTTCACCGTGTTAATCAGGATGATGTTGATCTCCTGACCTCATGATCCACCTGCCTCGGCCTCCCAGAGTGCTGGGATTACATGCGTGAGCCACTGAGCCCGGCCCCCACTGGCTAATTTTTAAAATTTTTTGTAGACAGAGTCTTGCTATGTTGCCTAGGCTGGTTTCAAACTCCTAGCGATCCTTCTGCCTTGGCCTCCCGAAGTGCTGTGATTACAAATGTGAGCCATCATGCCCAGCCCCTGAACGTATTTTTCATAAAAGTAAAAATATGCACATAAAATAGTCACAAAGGAGAAGTGGGCATCTGGCCTCACGTAAGTTTTGGCTGCTGCGGCCCATAGCCGTGTCAGTCAACAGAGGACATTTATACGAGCGCTCATAGAGCGGAGAAGAGGTTTTTGGTGAACAAGAAGGAATTGCTCCCAAAGTACCTTAGGAGAGTGATGACAAGCAGGAAGTAAAATTAAAAAGGAAACTTACTCCGGGCACTTGGAGTAGCACCTGCCTTCATGGAGGAAGAGAGGGAGGCCCAGCTGTATCCGGCACTTGTTGCAAAGATCGGCTCCAGAGCAGACGGCACAGGCCTCCGAACAGTTCTCGCAGCTCCTGCTCCTTACGGAAGGCCATGTGCCTTGGGGACAGGAGGAAACACAGGCCTGAGCCAGAAGATATGCACCTAGAAATCCAGGGAAGATAGGAATAGTCATCATGTGTGTTTTTACGCAGAGACATGGCTTTTTTAACCTTTCCAAAGACCAAAGTATCCAGGCACTTATTTCAGGCTTACCAAAATATTCACTAGTGATGCTAAGTCCTCCAGGATGAGTTACATTTCTAGAAGGCAATTGACAGCAAGAGGCTTTTGCCCTGTTTTTTTCCTTTCCCGCGGATATTAGGTAGAGGTCATGACGGGGCTTCCCTTTGCCCAGCTGCTCAGTCTTGTTAACACCCTGTCTATGTCTTCCCCGTGTAAGGCAGCTGTACATGCACAACTTGATAGAGTCTATTAATACTCTGCTTCCCCAAAGCTCATCTTGTTAGGACACTAACATAGTTGCAACTGTTTCTTTTTTGAGAAGGAGTCTTGCTGTCTCTCCCAGGCTTCAGTGCACTGGTGCGACCTTGGCTCACTGCAAACTCCGCCCCCTGGATTTAAGCGATTCTCCTACTTCAGCCTCCCGAGCAGCTGGGACTACAGGTGTGCACCACCACACATGGCTAATTTTTGTATTTTTAGTAGAGACGGGGTTTCACCATGTTGAACAGGCAGGACTCGAACTCCTGACCTCAGTAATCTTCCTGCCTCAGCCTCCTAAAGTGCTGGGATTACAGGCTCGGCACAGAGTTACAACTCTTCCACCCAACTCTCCCTTTAACAGAGGATCCATCTATTTTTTAATCGAACAACAGATACTCATTAAAAAAACCAATTTTCCGGCCGGGCGCAGTGGCTCAAGGCTGTAATCCCAGCACTTTGGGAGGCCGAGACGGGCGGATCACGAGGTCAGGAGATCGAGACCATCCTGGCTAACACGGTGAAACCCCGTCTCTACTAAAAAATACAAAAAACTAGCCGGGCGTGGTGGCGGCGCCTGTAGTCCCAGCTACTCGGGAGGCTGAGGCAGGAGAATGGCGTAAACCCGGGAGGCGGAGCTTGCAGTGAGCTGAGATCCGGCTACTGCACTCCAGCCCGGGTGACAGAGCCAGACTCCGTCTCAAAAAAAAAAAAAAACAACAACAACAAAAAAAAACAATTTTCAAAATCACTCTCAAACCCAAAATTCCAACAAAATGCTTTAGCTTTTTGAGTGTAACCTTTTATATTTTTTATGATTATAATCGTGGCTTGCCTATTGTAAATTTTTCTGCTTTTGCATCATATTCCACTATTAACATTGTACATTCCAACACGGACTTTATAATGATCATGTAAACATTATTATTATTATTATTATTATTATTTTTTTTTTTTTTGAGGCAGCGTCTTGCTCTGTCATCCAGGTTGAAGTGCACACTGCAACCTCTGCCTCCCAGGTTCAAGTGATCTCATGTCTCAGCCTCCTGAGTAGCCTGGGATTACAGGCATGTGCCAACACATGTGGCTAATTTTTGTATTTTTATTAGAGACGGGGTTTTGCCATGTTGGCCAGGCTGGTTGCCAACTCCTGGCCTCAAGTGATCCTCTAACTTCAGCCTCTCAAAGTGTGGGATTACAGGCATGAACCATCATACCCAGCCCACTTAAACATTCTTTATGTCAGTGTACCATTTAAGTAAAATATTCCCCTAATTCAGGGAAGGTATGTTATTTGTGATTTTTGTTTCTATAGATGAAGCAATTGGTAAGTTATCAAGCTGTTATGTTGCTGCTCTTATTTCTTTCTCCCTCCCTCTTCATCATGCCTTTAGATCAAGAAACTTTTTTTTTTTTTTTTTTGAGATAGGGTCTTGCTCTGTTACCCAGGCTGGAGTGCAGTGGCATGATCATGGTTCACTGCAGCCTTGACCTCCTGAGACCAAGCAATGCTTTCATTTCAGCCTCCCAAGTAGCTGGAACTACAAGGACATGCCACCATGCCCAGCTATTTTAAAAATTTTTATAGAGATGGGGTCTTACTATGTTGCCCAGGCTGATCTCAAACTCCTAGGCTCAAGCAATCCTCCCGCCTCAGCCTCTCAAAATGTTGGGATTACAGGTGTGAACCACTGCACCCGACCACTTCTTTGTATTGTCCTTTGAAAACCAGTTTTTATCATTGGTCAATGTTTGGGTCCTTGTGTGTCTCCCAAGTAGCCACTGTCATAGGAACATGTGATGGGAGTAAACCAAGGTGTTACAGACCTCCTTACACAAAGATGCCACTACACATGAGTTTCAATGACTTGGCTTGACTGCTGCCATCTCCTGTCACACAACACACTAACCTTTGGGACATGAAGTGCACAGAGTTGCAGATCCATTGCAGGTTTTACAAGAAGAATGACAAGGCTGGGATTGTCTCAAAGTATCTGTATGAGAAAGAAACAACAGTTCAGGCTTCTCCTTTGAATAGGCACATAGGATTCCAGCGCTGAAAAAGATCTCACGGGTAACCTAGTCCCTTTTCCTGCCCCAAATGGAATCCTTTTGATTGTACATGAGCTGATTGTTGGCACTGGCTCATTGCCATTGTGTAGACTTCATTTATTTTTTTTTCTCTTACTCCTTCATTTGCATTTGAATATCAAGACTTCATTGGCAATTGATTATCAAGAAAGATACCACACGAATGTGTGGTACCAAAAGGAATGTGGTATCTTATAAGATAGCCTCAAATACTGTGGGGATATCTGAACTAACAAATGATTACTTCTTTTGTGTGTTAAAAATGGGATTGTGAGTTTGTGTTTGTGTGTATGCATTTGTGAATGAGTTTATGAGTCAAAGGTAATCACTTCTATTGCCAAGATTGTTGGATGACCTTTTCTTTTCTTGTCTTTTTTTTTTTTTTTTTTTTTTTTTTTTTTTTTTTTTTTTTTTTTTTGAGATAGAGCCTTGCTCTGTAGCCCAGGCTGGAGTGTAGTGGTATGATCTTGGCTCACTGCCATCTCCGCCTCCCGGGCTCAAGCGATTCTCCGGCCAAGTAGCTGGGATTACAGGTGCGCACCACCACGCCCGGCTAATTTTTGTATTTTTAGTAGAGACAGGGTTTTGCCATGTTGACCAGGCCAGACTCGAACTCCTGACCTCAGGTGATCCACCCACCTCAGCCTCCCAAAGTGTTGGGATTACAGGCGTGAGCCACCGTGCCCAGCCAGATGACCATTTCTCTTCACTCCAAGATGATAATTGAGAATTCATTGTACCTCTCGTGGAGGAACTTCTTTTCTTTTTTCTGTTTTTGTTCTTCGAAAATCAGATTTTATTATTGGTCAAAGTTTGGGTCACTGTTTTCTTCAGAGTAGCTACTGTGCTATGCAACCTAAATTTATCTCATCTTAAATTTGTCCCGAATCATTGTTAAACATCGAAATTTTCCCCTACTCACGAGCTTTCTGGTTGGTCGGGCTATAAGTAGGCCATCCCAGGTTAATACACCATTCACCAGGGAAACACTGGAAGTGTTCCCTTCTCCATTTCCCTCCAACAGCATTTGATGGGCAGGCTTTCCCAGGAGGTCACCTCAGCAACTCCATGGGACAGTTTCAAAAGACAGAATAGCTTCAAGACTTCACTCAATCAATACACACTGAGACCTTGACTAGAGCTCAGGGATTGCTCAGAAATCAGCATGGCTTACATAGGGAAAAATTAGAAAACGAAGTTCTAGCTCAGAATGTGGGATTTCAATGACCCTGACCCTCAACCAATGTTGACATCTCACCATTTCCCTTCATTTCCTCCTCCTTCCCTTTCTCCTTTCCTTCCTCTCCTGCCTTTCATCTTCTTTCTTCTCATCCTAAGAGTCAGAGCCGGGTATAGATGGCTCTCTAGTCACACCTGCCTTCAGATCCCAGCTGTGCCGCCGAAGGGAAGGGTAACCATGGATACAGTAATTAAACTCTCAGAGTCCTGCTTTCCTTGTCTCTAAAATGAGAGAAAATAATTCTGCCCTTATAGGATTGTTGTGAAGACTAAATGAGATAATGTGTGTTAAGTGCTTAACAGTGGCACAGTAAATGGTAGTTCCTCCTGCTTCCTGTTGTCTCTCTCCCGTCACCATTCCACTCCATTTCTGAGGCTTGTTTTACTCCCCTCTTCTTTCCCTCTGGTTTCATACCTGAGTGGCACTGCTTGGCTTCTACAATATCATGGATACAAAGCTGATGAGCCTTGCCATAGAGGAAACTAGATTCAAATACAGATGGTAGAAAGATACGTACATAGATGGATAGGATGGATAGATACAGATATGGGGATAGATGCAGATACAGGTGGAGATGGAGATGGAGATGTAAATGATTAGGCTGCCATGCAGGGTAGTTGGTTTTCTCCTAGTTTGGAGAGAAAAATTTACCCTGGTTTTCTTTGATTGTTTGAGACAGAGTCTCACTTCATCGCCCAGGCTGGAGCACAGTGGCGCGATCTTGGCTCACTGCAACCTTTGCCTCCCAGGTCCAAGCGATTCTCCGGTCTCAGCCTCCCAAGTAGCTGGGATTACAGGCGCCTGCCACCAACCCTGGCTAATTTTTGTATTTTTAGTAGAGATGGGGTTTCACCATGTTGCCCAGGCTGGTCTCGAACTCCTGACCTCAGGTGATCCACCCGCCTTGGTCTCCCAAAGTGCTGGGATTACAGGTGTGAGCCACTGCAGCCAGCCCCCTGGTTTTCCAATATACTAATTAAAGCTGATGACTGACTGGTGTACTCTCTCTGGAGCATCTGTTAAGGGCTGAATTTAGCCTTGTGCAGAGCCACAGGATTGTCACAAATGTGTTCCTCATGCCTCTCAAAGTAACCGATTCTGTCCCCGAAGGCCTTTTAAACCTGCAATATCACTCAGCCCCAAAGAGATGGCAGCCAAAAGGCGAGCAACAATCCTGTTGCTACTATCAGTCAGATGTTCACTGAATGGCTGAGAGCAGTTGTGCAAAGAGTAATAAGACAACAATATGAATCAGAGAGTGAACACCTTGCAAATCTTCAATGTTCTACGTCCAGGCTTCAGGCTGATTTTCCTTTGATGTTATCATGTATATACTAAAATATATTTATAAAGACATGAGTTTTCATTAATTTTCTCATATTTGTATACATTTTAATATCTATATCTACACATATGCACATATTTATAATTACATGTATCTCACATTCTGGCAATTTGGTATTTTACTGCATACACCTGGTGTAAAATTCTATAATGTCAGCCAAGCAAGGTGGCTTATGTCTGTAATCCCAGCAATTTTGGAGGCCAAGGTGGGAGGATCGCTTGAAGCCAAGAGTTTGAGACCAGCCTGGACAATACAGGGAAACCCTGTCTCTTAAAAAATAATAACAAATAAAAATAAAATAAAATTCTGTAATGTCTCCATATGTCCACCAGAGGGAGATCTGTACAAGCAGTTAACTTAGCAATTAGGCCTGGGCATGGGATAAAGTCCTCCCCAGCAAGAGTTCTTTGTCATAAAAGATTAGGGACTTAATCTGAATAAGTAAATTTTAACTGTGATCATAGTTTCTCTTTTTCCCACTCTGGAAATTCTAGACTGGACAGGACCACAAAAAAAAAAAAAAGAAAGAAAGAAAGAAAGAACCCCTTTGATCCAGAAAGTGCAGTATCCATTCTTCAGAAATGACTGTAGCTAAACTATATACAGCAAGGGGTTCATTTATTCTACTTATTTTTTATTTAATACATAATCTGCACATGGTACAAAATGGAGAAAAGGCATGTACTGTGATGTCTCCCTCCTAATCCCTTCTCCACCCTTTTTCGTACAAACTGTATCTATTCACATGGTTTATCACCTTGCCTGTAAACAAACAATATATTTGGAGATTTTTCTTTATCAGTACAGAAAGAACCTCTTCCTTTTGGTGGCTCCATCGTATTCTATTGTATGAATACATTGACTTTATTTCTCTCGTCTCCTACTGGTAACCACTTAGTTTTTTCCAGTCTTTGTGATTTCAAACAATGCCGCAGGGACTGGGAAGGCAGAGGTGCTTCCTCAGCCTATTAAAGTTCTGTGAGGACAGATGCTCTTCTTAATAGCCTCTGCCAGGCATGAGCATTTAGCATGTCACGCATGTCCTTATCTGTTACAGAAATCTCCACTGCTGAGCTTCTCACAGTCTTCCCTCTGAGTGACCGCTCATAGGTTGTGTTTATGGCCCCCTCCTCTCTCCATCTTTTTCTAATGACCTCTGCATCTCTGCACCCCATTTGCATCTGGCCTCCCAGCTTCTTGGGGTGATTTTTCCACGGAGACCGTCTCCAGAGACAGTCTCTGCCGCTGTGACTGTCGCCTCCCTATTTCCCTGTTACCTCTTTTGATTTGAACTTTCCACCTTCGTCGCTCTTGCAGCAGGCTCTTCACCACAGATAGGTTTGCAATGGGCACAGCTTCTTTTTCATTAAAAAAAAAAGTGTTTAGTTTTTTTAATGCAAAAAGGATAAAGAAGATAAACTTCACCTATAATCCCACCACCCAGAAATGTCTGTTGTCTATACTGTGGTACCTGGATGTCTCATCTTCATATCGAGTGTGTGAGTATAATTACATCTATGTATAGATGTGTGATCATTTATAGCTTCCGTATACATAAGACTGACCTTGAGGCCGGGCGCGGTGGCTCAAGCCTGTAATCCCAGCACTTTGGGAGGCCGAGGCGGGCGGATCACGAGGTCAGGAGATCGAGACCATCCTGGCTAACCCGGTGAAACCCCGTCTCTACTAAAAAATACAAAAAACTAGCCGGGCGAGGTGGCGGCGCCTGTAGTCCCAGCTACTCGGGAGGCTGAGGCAGGAGAATGGCGTAAACCCGGGAGGCGGAGCTTGCAGTGAGCTGAGATCCGGCCACTGCACTCCAGCCTGGGCGACAGAGCGAGACTCCGTCTCAAAAAAAAAAAAAAAAAAAAAAAAAGACTGACCTTGAACACTGTATTTAACACTATAAATCTCGTAGGCATTTTCTCTTGTCATTAACATTCCTTGTAAACATTATTATTATTTTTTTTTATTTTATTTTTTTAAGAGGAGTCTTGTTCTGTTTCCCAGGCCAGAGTGCGGTGGCACCATCTCAGCTTGTTGCAACCTCTGGCTCCCAGGTTCAAGCGATTCTCCTGCCTCAGCCTCCCAAGTAGCTGGGACTACAGGCGAGCACCACCATGCCTGGCTAATTTTTTGTATTTTTGGTAGAGATGGGGTTTCACCATGTTGGCCAGGTTGGTCTTGAACTCCTGGCATGTAGTGATCTGCCCACCTTTGCCTCCCAAAGTGCTGGGATTACAGGCGTGAGCCACCACGCATGGCCCCCAGAATTGCTTTCTTTCGTGACCCAGGGAATGCTGCTTTCAAAGCAAACTAGTGTTTCAAGTGTTAAAACTGGCCTGAGTCAAAGAGTTAGGGAGTAGATTAGACTTTATTGTGTCATATGTGTCCTGAGAGCTTTATATGCATTTTCTCATTTAATTCTTAAAATGACTTTGTGTGAGGCAGTTTCATGTTTTCACTTTACAGACAAGGACACTGAGGCTCAGAGAGGATGAGTAACTCACTCAAGGTTACACAGCTAGCAAATCACAGAGCCAGGATTTGAATTAATGTGTGCTGCGCTCTAAAGTCTGCATCTGCTAGAGGGTGTAGACGTAGGCTTTTGAATTTTTCAGTAATAAATTTGAATTCTAAAGTAATTTGATAGAAGCCAAAGTAATGGTGTGCTGGTAAGACAGGCCTCTAGAAAGTGAAAAACCCAAAACCTGATTTGTAGTGTTTCCAATTTCTGTGGTGTAAATACTCCCACCATAGCCAATTTCAAGCTGTCAATGGTTTCACAATCCACTTAGAGAACTCCTGAGTATGTAACGATCTGTGCAAGTTGATACAGATGCTTCCTTCATCCTACTGGCCAAACAGTTGATTACTTACCCAGTGCCATGTGTTTTTTTGCACTCTGTGTTCTGGTAGGTTAAATAAATAAAAATAGTGCACTCATTTCTAAGTGAGGCAGCTGCACACATCTACAAAGTCCTTCTAAAAATCAGATTTCCGTGGCATCTTTGAAGTTTTCTAAAGTTCAGTGACTATTAGGCAACATATCTTCCCACTACTGAGGTGGATTTTTTTTTTTTCCCCCACATGTGTGTGGCTTTCAGTGTTTGTGACTAACTCTGGGATTCCAGTCTTTCCCCAAGGATAAGAATTAAGATCAAGAGACAGGCTAGTGATAAATTGTTAGGATGTGGTCAAAGACACAAAGCTAATTCACCATGTCTGTGTTCTGTAGATTAGACTATCACCAGAATATGTAATTAGAGCCTGTTATAACATGGATTTAATCAATGATGGAAATATGAGGTAAGAGAAATGTGCAGAAATTACTCCTAGGACTTTCCAGCACTACCAGGGGAAACCACTTAAGAAAATCCAAATGGTTTAACAGTAACAGAGGAAACTCTTTCCATTCCCAACAATGGCTTCAGGAAACCAGCTGAAGCCATCATCTTCCTTCAAAGCCCGTGGTCTGCCATACCTGAACCTTTCCACCAAGGTTGTGTGATGCTTGAGTCACTGCTGAGGCCGTTTGCAGCCTGTTGAATATTATATTGTTTTGTTGTTGTTTTTTGACAGAGTCTCTCTCTGTTGCCCAGGCTGGAGTGCCCTGGCACAATCTCAGCTCACTGCAACCTGAGAATCACTCCCAGGTTCAAGTGATTCTCGCACCTCAGCCTCCCGAGTAGCTGGGATTACAGGCACCCACCACCGTGCCCGGCTAATTTTTTTTGCATTTTTAGTAGAGATGGGGTTTTGCCATGTTGGCCAGGTTGGTCTTGAATTCCTGACCTCAAGAGATCTGCCTGCCTCGGCCTCCCAAAGTGCTGGGATTATAGTCGTGAGCCACCATGTCTGGCCTTGAATATTGGTTTTATTCCTGCCATTTAGGGACACTAAATAATTGTCACAATATACATCCCCAGACAGAGGGTCTGGGGATGATCTATACATTTGTGCAGTGACTTTTGGTGGCTGAAAAAACAGAGAGTCGAGCGCCATCTTTGATGACTTAGTCTTGGCTGGAGGATTTGTCAGGCACTGTCTGATAGGTGGAGGAATCTGCATCCTTGGACTAGGTGGGAGGTATTCCCACTTTGCCGGTAGTTGGCAAAGAATGATGGCTCTCTCACTATAGTTAGTCATTCTCATCCTGATTAGCCACCTTATTAAAAGAGGAGTTCAGGGAACTCTAGCGGGGCTTTTATTTCAAGGGTGTTTTCGCAGCCTATGCTGATAGATGCTTCTGGGTTGTAGTCTTCAGATGCAAACAGGATCTTACTGTTTCCACTGGGGAGCAGCATGGGTGAAGGAATGGATTGAAGTGTACGTCATCTTACCTCTCCTACCTGAATCTGAATCTGTGTTTGAAAAACAAGATAAAACAAAACCCAAAACAGAACAGAAAAACGTTCTAGTAATACCTAGACAGCTATATCCTCTCAAAAACACTCTGTACTTTGCCTGGGTTTCCTCTGATTTGACCCAGGATGACTGCAGTCTGCTTTCCATCATCTTAAAGGTGTGGCTAATTAGTGCTTGCTCTCTGGAACCCTCTACTCTCCTATTACACTCTCGATCCTGTTTTTTAAGAAAAAGAAGTCAGGAGAAGGTTGTAGGCATTGGCTCAAATACTCCCAGGACTTTATGGAATGCGTTTCCCATTTACTCTCCATTTCAGTGCTTACACTGTGCTGGGGGAAGCTGAGCTATGGCTTTACCGTGCTTAGTGAATAAATGGCTATTTCTCTGCATTAATGGTCTGCATGTCTTATTTCATAGGAATGAGAAAGTACAGCTCTGTCGTTGATTTGATTGTTTTTGTCCAGCCATGAGAAACACTCCCATCTCTGTCCCCAATCCCCTGTTAGTGAAAAAATCCCCAAATACACTAATTCCTCCCTCTCTTCAGAAACATTACATTGCAATAGTAGAAAATGCGGAGGGGTGGGTGTGGTGCTTCGACAAAAGGGAACCACTGAAGCCTGGTTTCTGCTTGCAAAATGCGTAGTCCAGTTGAAGGGACGTGGAGTCATTCGGGGAATCAAGCCTGCTCTAACTCTTGGCTCCCTGGACCGTGTCATCATCTGGACGCCAGATAAAATACAGATGTTCAGCGAGAAACACAGCACCAGACCATTTTCCTTTTGGCGTGCGCTGCCTCTTAAATGCCTGAATGCCAGACAAACTCATTTTCAGCATTTTGCTTCAGCTATAACTCACAGAAGATATCCCAATCTGGATTGAATCATCTTCTCAGCTATGTCTCTGAAATAGGGCCCACGTTCTCTGTGGCCTTTGGCTGCCGGGTTTTTCACGGTCTCTGAGCTGCTCTTCCTTGAAGTCACATGTGTAAAACTGCTGTAGTAGACAGCAGCCATGGACATGCCTCCTCTCCAGCCCAGCATAAACCACAGACCTGTCACTCCCTCGAGCCCATAGCACACTCCTCCTGTACAGCCGTCTCTCTGGCTGCCATTGCCTTTGCACCAAATTGACCCTTTAAACCAATTCTTGCCTTGAAATCAAATGAAGAGCAGCTCCTGTTTTTGCGACTGTCTCTGCATAGAACAGGAGTCAGATTTTTCCAGCAGGAAGAGGATTTTGTTTTGTAACAACCTCGGACGTGGAGGGGTCACTGAAAGTTTGTGATTACCTTGCAAGGAAGCCTGTAACTGAGGCTCAGGTGTGAGGAGGCGTGTTGTAAAGACGCAGGGAGGAATGTGCACCTGCAGGGCTTTGCTGTTGGATTCCAAGCTCCCACACCTGTCTCCTCTCCTCCCTCCTCAAGAAGCTTCATGCTTTCCCTGTCTGCAACTGGGAAGAGTAACTTTTAAAGGCAAGCTTGAATCCTGGTGAGCTCTAATAACGCAGCCATAGAGACCATCTGTTTTTAGCATAAATTCTAATATGTTCGAGCAGTCCTTCCTTGTCTAATTGGAAAAGCCTACCCTACAGGTAAAATTTTCCTTTACTATAAAAAGGACATGTAATAAGGACATAGGACCTGCCTGTGATGGAAGTGACTCCGAAATTTCGGAGAAAAATGATCCCGGGGTCATTTCCCTCCGTGACTCTCTTCAGTTGCTTCTGGGTCTGCTTCACCCAGGTAGAAACTCAAGCGAGTGGACCAATCATAAATTGCCCTTTGGGCTCTCTCTGCTGGCTGAACACCAACGTCAGCTTCCTACCTACTCCTGCTACAAGCATCAGAGAGACTCAGGAATGACCCCAAGTTGATTCTCACTCCAAACTCTTGTTTTTCTGCACAGCCTTTCTCTCCTGGATAGTTCAAAAAACCAGAGTTATAGAAGGAAGGAAGCAGAGTAGGCAGCTAGACCCCTGAGATCTCTTTTTAGGAGGCACATACCATTCCAGAATTTGCCCTCCTCCTGGGTCTGGGTGACACGCACGCACACCCCACGCAGCAGCTGCAGTCCTTCCCAGCAGCTGCTGCACTCGTCATGACCAGGGCCTGTGCAGGTTTCGCACTCTTGGTGGCAGGGCTCACAATCTCCCATTTCTTGGTCACCATAGAATCCAGGGCCACATTTCTTCACACAACTGCCACCTATGTGAGAACACAGAGAGAAAACATGAAGGCTTTGGTAATCTCTGCAAGGCCAAGTTCTAAAGAGGCTGGAGGAAATTTTAGGGACATGTTTCTTTGCATTTGTTTTTATTGTTATTTTTGAGATGGAGTATCTCTCTGTTGCCCAGGCTAGAGCGCAGTGGCACGATCTTGGCTCACTGCATCCTCCACCTCCCCTATTCAAGCCATTCTCCTGCCTCAGCCTCCTGAGTAGCCAGGACTACGGGTGTGTGTCACCACACATGGCTAATTTATACATTTTCCGTAGAGATGGGGTTTCACCATGTTGGCCAGGCCACTCTGTCCAGGCTTTTCATTTGTTTTTAAAGAAACCAAGATGGCTTGAGCTTATTTCAACCAAGAAATGTGTTTTAATAAATCCAGACTGGGCAAGGTGGCCCATGCTTGTAATCCCAGCACTTTGGGAGTTTGAGGTTGGCAGATCACCTGAGGTCAGGTGTTCGAGACCAGCCTGGCCAACAGAGGGTGCAGTGACCTGAGATTGCACCACTGCACTCCAACCTGGGTGACAAGAGCGAGACTCCATCTAAAAAAAAAAAAAAAAAAAAAAACCCAACACTTTACCTAAGTCCTCTTTCAACTGGAAATTTACATTGGCCATTAAAGGGTTAAGAGCATTGAATACAGAATCCTTGAGGCCTTGAAAAACTACAAATAAAATAAATCTCTGTGTAGAGAAACACTGAAGAACATTGTGGGCTGTCTTTCTCATTCTTTCTCCCCCAAACACTCAAGTGCATTGGGCTATTATCTCTTCAGCTGCAAGATTCACACTGTATTTCTTTCCTAACTATCCATTTCCATTAGTCAGTGACCAAAACCTAAGGCAAGGGATCTTGTTAAATTCTTACAGTGCACAGGGATATATGAGATGGATTAAGTCTCAAGACAAGGGTCAGAGCTCTCAATATGCCAGGTGACTTCAATGCCAAAACATTTATCTTCAGCTACCCACTCTCTATCTCCATCCAATTCAGCCTTGTTTCCATCAGCTTGGAGATATGTGAAATTAATTAGTGGAACAGGACCCATGCTTCAGTAATAAAAGCAGAAGGAAGTGGTTCAGCTAATGTTTATTTCTAAACCAAATTAAAATTTCTCCTTGGGCCAGAGGTGCCCGCACACACAGACTCTGAAACCAATCACATGTGTGCTCCTGTGGCCCCAACTGGATGGAGCTCCAGTGCCTGGTTCTCACCTTGGATGGTACCATTTTCTAACTTACCCAAGAGAAAGAAGCCCTCTTCACACCAGTAACACCCATTCTGGTCACAGCTGCCACAATTACTGTCACATGCCTTGCATTCCAGTTCCTCACTGTAGGTCTTCTCAGGACAGGTTTTATAACAATGCTGATCAAACCTAGAGGAAGAAGACATCATTTCTTTCATGACATATGTTAATGTATTACTCTTCACCACCATAATTTAATCTGCTTATATATATCTATGCAGAGATTTTTGTTTTGTTTTGTTTTGTTTGAGATGGAGTTTTGCTCTTGTTGCCCAGGTTGGAGTGCAGTGGTTGATCTCGGCTCCCTGCAACCTTGGTCTCCCGGGTTTAAGTGATTCTCTTGCCTCAGCCTCCCGAGTAGCTGGGATTACAGGTGCACACCACCATGCCTGGTTAATTTTTGTATTTTTTTTCTAGAGAGGGGGTTTTGCCATGTTGGCCAGTCTGGTCTCAAACTCCTGACTTCAAGTGATCTGCCCAGCTCTGCCTCCCAAAGTGTTGGAATTACAGGCGTGAGCCACCACGCCCAGCCCATGCAGCATTTTCAGCAGGAGTGAGTAATTGAATTTCAGGTTTGGTCTGTTGTGCCCCCGTCAACCCAAGTCACTAACCACCTCCTTCTGGACCTCCAAGGACTCTTTATCAGGGCAGCTGGGAGAAGGTTGGGGAGAAGGAAGGGGTACTGACACTTATTTCTAGAGTACTGATTATGTGTCAAGTATTAGCTCATCTAAAACTCCACAAATCTCGTGTAGTTGATATCGTGTATCTTTAATTTCTAGATAAGGGAACTGGAGCTCTAGGTTAAGCGCTTAAAATCACACAGCTAGCTAATGGTGGGACTGGGATTTTAACCAAAGTCTGTGTGAAAAGGTTGCTTGTGTGATTTGTCACATAGCAACTGGCACCGAGGCCTGAAATAGCTTGGTGTCAAGCCCAAGCAGCTTACTAAAATGTCTGTAACCAGATTATTAACAATAGTAGCGAAGCAGCTTAGCTTTTATTTATAAATATTTTTATGTATGTTATCTGTTATTCTCATGATACAGTAAAAATGTTGTAATTCAGACTCCACTGAATTGCAGGCTTACCTGAAGGGGGAGTGGACTGAAATCGACCCCTGCCTTTGATGAATTTCAAAGCATCAGCATGATATCAGGGGAAACCTTTGCATATCTTCTGTAACAACCTCTTTTTTTTTTTTTTTTGAGACTAAGTCTCTCTGTCACTGTAGCTGGAGTGCAGTGGTGTGATCTTGGCTCACTGCAACCTCCTCCACCTCCTGGGTTCAAGCGATTCTCCTGCCTTGGCCTCCTGAGTAGCTGGGATTACACATGCGCACCACCATACTCAGCTAATTTTTGTATTTTTAGTAGAGATGGGGTTTCCCCATGTTGGCTAGGCTGGTCCCAAACTCCTGGCCCCAGGTGATCCACCCACCTCGGCCTCCCAAAGTGTTGGGATTACAGACGTGAGCCAACATGCCTGGCAACAACCTCTGTTGTATAGCATTTCACTAGCCGTATTCAAAATTGCTAAATGTTTTCAAAGATTAGATATGTTTGTTTCTTGAAATAAATATCTCATATTGTACCCTTGGTGATATTGGAGCATGTTCTTTCAGGGTATTTGTTTTTCAGAGGGTTTTATGAAACATGCTCATTAGCGAGTTAGTGGTGAGCTGGAGAGGCGGCCAGGTTTGGCTCCAAAGTTTAACAGAGGGTGTTTAACAAAGTTTAACAGAGCCTGGCCAACATGGCGAAACGCTGTCTCTACTAAAAATACAAAAACTAGCTGGGCGTGGTGGTGTGCGCCTGTAATCCCAGCTACTAGGGAGGCTGAGGCACAAGAATTGCTTGAACTTGGGAGGCAGAGGTTGCAGTGAGCTGAGATCGTGCCACTGCACTCCAGCCTGGGCCACAGAGTGAGACTCTGTCTAAAAAACAAACCAAAAAACAAAAAAAACAAACAACAACAAAAAAACAAAGTGGGTCAAGAGTGCAGTGATGTGAGACATAGTCAATGTACAGAATGGCAGGCTATTCTGGAAAAGTTAGATTAAAACCAGAAGGCTAAGAACTGATAAGGTTAACTGATCATTTTTAGTATGTTTTAGCTTGTTGGTCTTCCTTTTCTTTCCCATCCTCCTCACTCCTTTCACTTCTTCCTACCTATTACTACATTTCAAGAGTATTTGTCTTTGGACAGGTGGGTCACCTCCTCTTGTCACCATATTGCTTTGTCCGATTCCATGGATGGAGGGAAAAGGCAATGTGGTGACAAGAGGAGGTGACCCGCCAAAGTCCAAATGTTCCAAATGCAGACCTGTCACTAGCTGTGTGCAACCTGAGTAAAACCTTGTCCCTCTCTGAGCTTCAGTTTTCTCTTCAGGAGATTAACATCCTCCTTGTGTCTCTGACAATCTTGATAAAATGATGGAGAGATGAAATAGTTGTGGGAGTTTGTATATCACAAAACTTCTGAGTTCTTAGGAGGACAGGGAGGGATTATGTAGCCTGTGCATTACCCAGGGCCCTCCTTTCCTTTGCAGCTCCTTTCTCTTTAGTTTTCCTTCTAGGACAGTCAACAGTGTGCTGGAAGGGAGGCTAGACTAGGAAGAGGAGGTGATATTTTAACATGCCATTTTTGATTTTGTGGATTATTATTAGAGTGTGTTGGCAGTGATGGTTACCTCTGTTTCATTTAACCTAGTGGTCTGTGTCTCTCGTTACCTAGGGGATGATTGAGCTAATATAGCACCTGGCTTCGCCCTGGCACCTTCGCTCTGGTTAAGGACAAGGTATCCATGCAGACGTTTGCAAACAGCTTACTTGGGACCAGGTATATTATTAAGGTCTGTCCATGAACAGCAAGATCTGAATCTTGGTAACCCATGGCAGGATTCCTAGACACCAGTGTCAGGCTGGATGACTTCCAGGATCAAGAAAGAGATGGCCTCCTTTCGAGGCAAGGAAACAGCTGGGCTCTTATTGCTAAATCCAAGAATTGCTCATTAATAGCCTGACAGGACAGAGTTGCTTTGGGCTACAGGGCCACTTTGCTTTAATCACTGGATTGAGGATTAAGTCAGTAATGCTTAAACTGCAGAAAAGTTAGTGCCATGAAAAGGAAGGCCAGACTTACCTGTAATACCCCACAGCGCAAGATGTGCACGTTCCTGGATCATCTGGAAAAAAATTAAAATAATAAAAAACAATAATTATGAGGAATTTGTCATTTGGAAAAATAGGCTCTGGAAAAGTTGTGGCTTGAGATAAACAATCCTGTGGGATAGTTTCATGAAATGTACTGTCCAGAAATAATATGTGAACAGATTGCACCATTTTTAATTAGTAACAAGATGTACACTAGGATTTATCTTTATCAAAGGTAATAAGAGTTCTCATAAACACTTGGCCCTACTTTCAAGGAGGAATAGGCTCAAGCTACTGGGTCTTCAAATTAAAGATCAATGACCATCCACATTAAGAACCTACTGGCCTCTAAGAGATAGGGGGATCAAGCAAGTCCACACACAAATATTTGGAAAGGGCTACAAGCTTCTGACCCTGAATAGAGGGTTTTCCATCAGTTACCCCAGAATCTTGCCAATGGAAGTGAGCATCATTTGGGGCACTCCTTTGAAATCTACACAATTATTTTTCCCAAGTATCCACTTCATGTTATGCCCTTCACAACCTTCTTAAAAACATTGTCCTGGTCTCGTTAAGAGTAATGATTCAATGCGTCCCTTCTGGCTCACAGAAGGGTTCTCTCCTGCAGCTTTCAGGGGACTTAAAGAGAGAAAGGATTTTCAGAGTCATCATCTCAGTCTATTTCTCTCCCTCCTAACACTTCCCAAGAGATGCAACTCTCAGATCTGGCTATAAAGAGAATTCTATGACTTCCTCTGGCCTGCAGTTCTTGCACGTAATAGAGCTATCACTGACAGGTTCTTTCTGTGATCTAACCTACCCTCCAGTCTTGCTCTTTTTATTTTAATAGGAGATGAAAGGCAACTGCTCCTCTTTAAAATGTTCCTCTTGGTATGTGAAAATTTTATGTCACCTTTAATTAACAAAATAAAACTATATCATTTGAACTTTGTGCATAGCATTCCTTTCTAATCTGTTCTGCCCTCTTCTGGTTTTCTCAGACTGCCCTTAAGAGGTAGACACAACCTCATCCAAATCTTTAGTCACACATTCATCTTAGGTCCTAGGGAGGCTACCAAATGATATTACTGTGTACTACACATAACACAACTAATGCATTGCACCAAATGTTAAGTGGGAAAATTTCTAGCAAAGGCTCTGCTAATTAAAGCAGGGATCTGCAGAAACTTCTGGAAATAGCTTGATGATGGTGCAGTGGAAAGAGCGCTGGCCTGGAAATTGAGCTTCCTGTTTGAAGTTTCAACTCAGGCTTAATTGTGTTGTGAACATGCACAAATGTCACTCTACTTTCTGGGTCCTGGTTTCTGCTGGTATAAAATGAGCTGGTTGGACAAGTTGGTTGTTAAGACTTCTGGAAAGTCACAGTTTCCGAAGTTGAGCCTAGCAAGAGTTGGCAATTGTGGCCCACTCCAGGACCTTGACCTTGCCATCTATTTATTTGTATTGTTTAAGAATGCTTTCATTCTATATAACCAGAGTTGAGTAACTGCAAGAGACCAAAGATATTTACTCCCTGCCACTTGACAGAATTTGCCATCCCCTGACTATAGCACTGTCAGCTCGTGACTTGGTCATGCTCATCTCTGCTAGGGGACACAGGTGCTGTAGTTGTCTTAACAGCTGGTTTCAGAGTTCCTCTTAGCAAAAGAACCGTCTATATTTGGGAAACTACCTTGTTAAGTTCCTTGGGGTAGAAGTTTAATTGGAAGAGTTGAACAAGAGCCAAGACAGCCAAAGAGATAGAAGGGCCCTTCTGCAGGAAGCTGTTATCTGCTCATGGGTGGGAAATGGTTTTTAATGTCTGGGTCAGCATGGTTTGTAATACGGTGACTAAGACAGGACAGTGAAATGAACCAAAAACCAGGCTAATTAGGTGGAACCAGGAACTAAAGCTAGAGGTGACCATGAGGAAGAAAAACTCCCTGGCATTCTTAGAAATGTTGGAGAAGCCCATTCATAAACTGGGGATCTGAACCCGTTGTAAGTGCATGCAGAGGCCCCAACAACAGTGGTTCCCCTGTACTAGTTCATTTTCCATTACGAGTCTATTTTTGCATCCATATTTTTTTCAGTTTCTAAATAACTTCCTACCACTAGCTTGCATTTGGGCAGCTTACCTTACTCTGCCTCCCTGATGAACATATTTGACTCTAACAGTTTTGCTAATTTGGCAAGGGCTGGGGAAATTCTAATCCTGTTCTTTAATGTTCTGGTCATCCCTCCCATCTAGGAACTTAATGAGCTTGCTCTCTGCTCCTTTAAGCAGGTCACTGATGAAAATGTTAAACAGAACCAAGCCTCAGAAATGTGCATACCAATGCAATCTTGAGTTCAGGGACTTTTCCAGCCCAGTTGCACGGTGAATTTGGTACCTTTACAACTGTTTGCATAAATGAATAATGCATAGAACGGGAACTGTGTCTTATAACAGTTTATGAATGTCCATTAGTTTTTCTCATTATTACCAGTTGTTCTAAAGAATGAGAATTATTTAAAAAATGTTTTCCACCCGAGAAGATCCACAAGTCAGACATAAACTAAATGGATTTAGCTTGACCACTGAGAGGCTGCTGTTATGAGATTAAGGAAGAAGGTAACAATCCCAAATCTAGAAGTTGACTCTAAGTCAGCTTGGCATTTAGATGGTGAGGAGGGGTGGCTTAAGGAGAAAGATGAATTTTCCTGGTTTCTAGTGTGTGTGTGTGTGTGGTAAGGGGAATGGAAAGGGAGTCTAAACAAGCTACAATTGTTAGCTGTCTTGGAAGGTGTTATCCAAAGAAGGATGTTTAAATAGCTCGGGTGATTTGATCTTGTCAAACTTTTGAGCTGAGAGAGCATATTTTAGGGAGAGATAGGGCAAGTTCAGTCAGAATTCAGAAAGAGCCTCACACATTTGGAAAAAAGCCTTCAGAAACAGTGGCTGGCTTCCAGCTGCTCATGTCCCTCCTAAGGACAGCATGTGAGCAGATGCCTCATCAGGACGGGGATGCCGTCTTTCTGTCTCGAGAAAACTCATTTTTATTGTTTCATTTGTATGGGGTGGGTTGGGCAGGACTACAATGTCCACTCTATCTTGAGAGCTCTTCATGATGCCCTGTGTCACCTTCCCACTGTGACACAGTGGGATCATCCGTACTGTCACTCATCATGAACTCACTGTCCCATGGAGAAATTGCCTCCTGCTTCAACATCACCTTCAGCAGCCAATTTACATTCTATGCCATTTTATTTTGTTCTCAGTAACACCAATCACCTTCACCATTGAATTTGGATGGATGAGGGCCACAGTGGGAGCTGTGCACATCGTACCTATAAGATGTATTGGGAAGGAGATATTTTAAACTTGAATGTCTAGAGAAGAATTTATTTTTATGGTTTACATGAACTTGGTGTCTCATAATTCAGGATACATACAAGTGGAGGGTGAGCATAACCATGGCAACCTCATGCAGACTGTGAGAGGGTCCTGGCCTCCTGCTGCTCTGTGAGAAAGAAAATGTCGGCCCAAGTCAGCAAGCTGGCATCTCATGAAGATGCAATGTCACAATCACAGGGTGAGACTGGCCGCCCTGGCCATGCTGGCTGTCCAAAGAGACCAGGTCTCCCTACGGTATCCAGGCTGGTATCAAACTCCTGATCCCAAGTGATCCTTCTGCTTTGGCTTCCCAAAGTGCTGCGATTACAGGGAAGTTATTTTGTCACTGGATAAAGATACTTGTGAAGAAACTGGACTTCCAGCTTCCAGGTTATGTGTCTCAGTATTCTAGCAGAAAAGCATGGAATTTAAGATGGGGTCTCACTGTGTTGCCCAGGTGGTTTTGAACTCCTGACCTCAAGCAATCCTCCTGCCTCAGGCTACCAAAGCCCTGGTATTACAGCCCAGTCCTTGGAGAGACGAGGAAATCCAGAGTTTTCTCCAAGAATGGGGATTCCTGAGAAGCGAGTTTCACATTGAGTCAAGAAAGGAGAATCATATACTGTCAAGGGCAATGGCCCGGAGCCTCAAGAACAGGGGAACAAAGAAGAGCTGGGCTTGATAGGATCATGGTGGTTCTCTCTCCCACCTAAAACCTACCACTACCTCAAGACCCCCTCAAGATGGTGACCTATCTTGGTTTCAACACCTTAAACAGGAAACACTGGGAAGATGCATACTTCTCTATTCTATATCAGATATGTCTTAGAGGAAACCCGTATATCTGAGTGACCAAAGAAAAGCATGAGAAAAATGTGAAATCTGTGCCAGGCCATTCACAATGTTTTGCTGGTGCCCTGGGGCCCACATGTATTTCAAGAAAAATAAAGTGTGTCGAATCTGCAGAAGACTGAAGTATGTCTGTCAGACCTGCCCCTTAGACCTGGAGCATGGCCTGCCCACCCAGGTTTGTGATGCTGAGTTGTCTTTAAAAGATGATATGCCAAAGTCAGATATCAGAGAAGAGTACTACATGCAGAATGTGGAGAGAGGGATAATCCTGTCTCAAATAAATAAATAAATAAATAAATAAATAAATAAATAAATAAAATAAAATAAAATAAAATAAAAAATTGATCAGGCACAGTGGCACACACCTGTAGTCCTAGCTAATTAGAAGGATGAGGCGGGAGGATCACTTGAGCCCAGGGGTTTGAGGCTGCAGTGAGCTATGATCACAACACTGTGCTCCAGCCTGGTCAACAGAGAGAAAAGAAAAGAAAAAAGAAAAGAAAAGAAAAAGAATGGTGTACTCCAGCCTGGGCAACAGAGTTGGGGGGAGGTGGGGAAAGAAAGAAAAGAATGGTGAATCCTTTTCAGGAGGTTTCAATTTACATTGCCCAGATACATCAGAGGAATCACTATGGCAGCTATTGCCATACACAATGTCTTTCTCAATAAGACTTAGGCCAGGCACAATGGCACATGCCTGTAATCCCAGCACTTTAGGAGGCTGAGGTGATTGGATTACTGGAGCTCAGGAGTTCAAGACCAGCCTGGGTGACATGGCAAAACCCCCTCTCTATAAAAAATATG